TAGAAAAAGTGTTTCAATGTCAGTGAAAAACGTGCGCGGCAAATTAAAAAGCAACAACGACGCGACTAGTAGAGTATCTGTAAATTTTCTTTGTCGCTTATTAGGCATGTCTTTATACTTATAGAGATGCCTTGTGAAATTAGCAAATAACATTTGTATTTCATCTAACCCCAACCCAATAGTTTTCAAGGTTACTCTTGTGGGAATTTACAGCAACTCATCATATTTATAACAACAAGTTTGATATGCTAAATGAACTATTATTTATTTATTTGTCGTTTTAATTTATTGCTACTACAATGTTTGTGGACTTGCACGCAACTTACAACACACATACATATGTATGTATATGCATACATATTTGTAAACTATGCGATATGGCATAATTTGCAAATTAGCTAAGACGAGCTATTGGCACGTTGTGTGAGTGTGTGCGTGTGCGAGTGCGAGTGCCCTCGAGCTTGGGCTGCGGCTGTCCATGAGTTAAATAGGGCTAATAAACTGCGCCTAATTTGCAAGTCTCTCAGTAAAGTTAAGTGTGAGTTGCGTGCAAGCCCCTAAACCGTTAAAAACGCACACCCACCCACGAAACACAGACACACACACACACGCGAGATATGTAAAAAACGCGCCTCTGCAGCTGCACGAGGTGTGTTCAAAAACTAAAGTTTCATTTCTCCAATTGCTAGAGCTCGTTGTAGTTTGGGTAAACATGTCCCGAAATTAAGTGTACATTGGTATGGCCGGAAATTGTAGATCGCCCAGAATTTATTTACCGGGCAAAGGGATCCACCAAAAAGTACGCATACGTGCGAATATTATAGCAAAACTTTTGTGCCACCACAGCAGAGGACAGAGAGATTGCTATTCCTCAGTAAAATTGATATATGTGTGTAGGTATGTATGTGCAAAATTTGGTTTTGATAGAGGTACTTATGTATAAAAGTCTTTACCCTTTTACTTTGTGTTGCTTTGTCATACAACCGTTTGTCATCAGCTCTTAATCTCAAGTACCGTTAGCATTAAAAAGTAACGCGTTTCATGCAAATTGATAAATATGTATGCATTTTATCCTTTTACATTTTAAATATGACACATGACACACGCTTCTTATCTGCAGAAAAAAATATATTTAATTGTCAAGCAGATTTATTGGAGGGCTATTCAAAGTCGTATCGTTGTGTTTTGGCGAACTTAAAATTAATCATTTTTTAAATGCCCCGCGGAAACGAGTTAAACATAGAAAATAAAATAAAAGACACTCTACCACAATAATAATAATTTCAAGAATTTATGTATTTCTATTTGGAAAACATATTTGAAAAGCGTTAAAATTGGCTCTAGCGATAACAGGAGTATATTTGCACAACCAGGAAAATTCTCATTGTTTCTCGAACGCACCTCGTAATCATCTTCGTACATGTCTGTGTGTATGTGTGTGCTTGCAGGTATATATTACCAGTCAAGTTATGCGGTAATTTCCCCACATCGATTACGTCGTTTTTTTGAGTACTTTGACTGATAAACAGCAAAAAAATAAAACTGTGTAAGCCCATAAAGCAGTCACAGCAACACAACAACAACAACAATAGCAGCAATAACAGCAACACAACAACAACAATAACAGCAACGACAGCATCACTAACCTCAGACAAGCTGTGCGCCGCAAACACAAAGGCAGCGAGAAAGAAAGAAAAAACAAAATTATCAAAATGAGCCGCACACAACGGCAGGCTGTAATGGCGAAAAAAGACGCAGTGAAGCAAAAAAGAAGCCGGAAGGCAAAAAAAACCGCAAAGTTGTTTTCATTTTAATTTCTTATTTCATCTTTCACGCCACTTCATAGGGTGTGTGTTTGTGTGTGTGAATATCCATTGACAAAAAGAAAAATATGCATGCAAAAAAAAAATCAATGTGTGTCTTTTGGCAACATGAAGACATTTGCCTTTACCTGAAGTAACTCAAAGTACATACATATATACACGCATATATGTATATACATACGTACACACACCACGGCAAACACACCCCAAAAGTTTTGGAAACACTTCAAAAATGAAACTAGACTTGAATGGTGTTTTAATAACTTCATTGCATATGCCCAACTTTCACTTGCTACGAATAGATATTTGATATCTGATATGTACTTCTGTTTATTTACAAAAAGCTGCAAGTTCCGTCACTTAGTTAACACAACAAAAATCTCTATAAAAGTAATATCCCTTGTCTTAATGTTTATGTGTACGAGTGTACTTTCATATGACAACATTCATATAGTTGAACTTCTTTATAATAGATCTTAAAAAAAATACAAAATTGTTAATAAATTTCTCTAGGCAAGTTCAAAACCACTTTACATTATAAGATATATTATCGTTCAAAAGACAAGTATATGGACGGATAGATAAACATGAATAGATAACATGTGCTCTGCCTGTTACGTTACATTTCCGTTTAGAATTTATAATATACCCTTTAAGTACAAAGTACTTAAAAAAGGACGAATTGTTGTCAACATAAAATGAATACGCGCAACAAAGACGAATTTAAACAAATTCTAAGTGCATTTTTTCAAGTAAATAAATAGTTAAAGTACTTTATCGGAAAGGTTAAGGCAAACTGTAATATGGGTACAGAAATTCTTCAAACACAGTAGTTCGGGGCCATATATTAAAAACAGACAATATTTAAGCCTATGTTTTAGTTTTATTGTTTTTTTTATTTGAAAATTGGCACATATTTTTTTCAAGATAAATTTAATAAACCCTTTTAGAGCCTTATATTGGAGTTCTAAACAGCAATCAGGAATATACTTCAATTTTTTATTTACTACTCAGTCATCTTAAATACATATGTGTGTACATAGTTTTGCCAATAGCTCAAAATTTTGTGTAATGTTGTGGCAATAAAACTAGCAAACAACTTTTTATATTTTGTTACACTTTTGACACGTTCAGCCTGCGCGTCAAAAACAAAATGAATGAACCCAACATTTCCCCACATGTAAAAAATAGAAGAAACTATTTTTGCGCGCCTAATGAGATGGAGTTATACATATTCTTTAGAAACTGATATAAATAGTGTATTCCTATTCCGCTTCGAATTATTTATAAAGATAGTTCACTGCATAAGTGCGAGAATGTATATTCAAATATCCTGCTGCACAAACACACACACACACACACACACACACACTCGACCACTACACACTTCAGCTTAAAAGGAAGTCACTTCGAGTTCCCTGGGAAGCAGATAAAGTGCCTTAATGCCGCAGTTCCGTTAGTGGCTTAAGAATTTATGACATGACATAAGTGTGAACTCCAAAGGATTCGCCTCAAGATGTGATAGCGTTCGTCTTTAATTATTGAATGTAAATTAAATATACATATGTACATAGTTACATAAATTGGCACTCATGGCGTATACGCAATGCAGCTTGCTCGCGCTTTCTGGAAAACAGACCCATAAAATTTCAATTATTATCAAGTGAAATTATAAATGCCTCGCCCTCTTCATATTTTGCATTTACTGAGAATTAATACTTGTATCTTACTATCACTTACATACAAGTATGTACATACATACCATAAATACATATGTGTTATGTCTGCTTTTTTTGTCCAGACTCAAGGTTACATACATACATACATACTCGTATATAGCTGTGACTTGCTTAAAATAAACAACGAAAACAACAGCTGAAGTACAACAAAAAACAACATCATCCGCTGAGAAGAAGTGATAAAGATGCAAAAATAAAATAAAAACATCAGAGAGAAGCGAGCAAACGCCAGTGGGTCAAATTTTTGTGCGTTGTCGCCTTTTCACATGTTGAGACCATTTTTTGAAGAATGCAAATTTTAAGATGCCACGCCTAACACTAGTATGACCTACATTTTGTAGACTGCACGAGTAGACCCAAGCCAAAATCGGTTTGCATTTATTTTAAAGAAGGAAAACTGACACCTTATTTGTGGAAAACGCTTTTACGATCTTTAGCATATGTATGTAGGGCAATGCATTTATGGAAAACGTTTCCCAGAGTATAAGTATTTAATTATAATAGTCATTGGAGTGGACCATTTTGATAACAGCAACCCACCAAATAAATGATTAAAGTATGGCCATTCGGCCGAAGCTGAAATAATTGTGTCACGAAATGAAGGATAAACGGCTTCTCAAAAAACTTTTCGTATCCATATTGTCTTTAAAGGATTCAGATAGTTTTTTTCATGACCATTGAGTTTGTTTTACCGGAAGTAAAATCACCATAGCATCCAAACTGAAACGCTTATTATTGTACTTGTACTGTTAAACAAATATACAAATCCACTACATATTCCTTTTAATGAATGTAGCTGAATTGGAAGCTTTCACAGACAAGGAATATAAAAATTTTGCCCATAATCGAATGTAATGTTTTAAGATAATCTAAACATATTCGTTCATGACCGCGAATTTCGTAGGCCCTTTATATATTATAATAATATTATTAATAATAATTATAACAATAGCAATAATAATTTTAATTTATGACTCCAAACTTGCCTGCCCTATTAAAGCGTTGACCGTCGCAACGATGCCTAGCGGAGGCATATCTGAAATGAATTAAATAAATTTAAAGTGAAATAGAAAAGGTGTTTGCTTTTAGGATCCATAAAAGTCTTCATCAATGTCAAAACAATGATATGAATGGGCAATGGTCAGTGGCCATCGTAGCTGCGCTCAGTCGAATAATTAGCTTGTGCATAGGCCATTTACATAAAGAGAGCCAAGCAACAAACGTTTAACACAATGATTTAAAGTGAAGAAGCGCTGATGGTGCTCATTAATTATAGCGCCAAATATTATGATCTTAATTACACTTTTAAAAATAAGAGAAAATGCGTTAAGGTTACTTGCAAAATAAAATAAAAAACACGGTTGTTAAGTACAGCTACTTCCAGTTTTGTTTTCTTAATTAATATCTGTATTTTGTCTTATATTTTAAAACTGCACAGCCTTCATCACGACCCGAATCGGATTTTACTCTCGATCTGCCGCGTGCCGAACAGTTACGTCTAAAAATGGAAAAGGAGAAGAAGTTCCGCCAAAGATGTCGCTTCATCACCACATTTCTAAGTCTGGTATTTTTTCTATTAACCGTAATGGTTGTAAGTTTGGTATTAACGCGAGGCAAACGTATGTTTGGCAGCATGATTTAGACTAGGAACATAATTGTTATATCTACATGTACGCCCTAGTTATAGAATTAATTCCCAAATAATTTAGCTAGCACTGGTATCTACTTATATTTAGAATTGCATATGGATTGAAACAGTGCCGTAGTAACTCATAGAAAGAACAACGAATGTCGTTAACTAATTAAACACGAACATATACCATACAAAAGGAATAATAATTTGTTAGCTCTATACACACTATGATACACTTTAGTTTTATATACTTGGTCCGAATCTGCATGAACAGCAGTACTGTAATTAAATTATTTTTTGTGATGTTAGCTCTTAAGTCGTAAGTGCATTTCAATTGCAAGTAGCAGGCTATTAACGCTTTTTTCTGTGCGCTCAAACTAGCATTTGTCATATTGTGGAAACAACTGAAAGTGTGCGTGTACTATATGGAATGTATTGTATTGTATAATTATGGTAGTTCTTCTGTAAATAAGCGAAATGTGTGTATATATAATAAAGTAACAAACAAATCGAGTTTACTATTTTATTTCAGTTAATGCTTAAACATTTACTATATTTAGCGTTTATTTTTATTTTTTAACGACAATCAGCTTGCAGTTCACAATATATAGTTTTGTATATTTGTATACAAAATTCGAAAGCGTCTATAGTCTGAGAATACCAACATGCTCAATTACTGAAACGCATTATTCCAGTTCGCATATGCAACTGCACCTTTTCGTTTTGACATCAACATATCATCTTTATCACAAATGGTTTTTTTTTGTTAGATTTGAACCAACTGATGGGAGGAAAAATGAGTAACATTTAGTTAACGCTACCATGTAAATTAAGGCAATATGATTAATTGTAGTATGCGGTAGGTAACTTAAAACTAATTCTACAATTGAATTCACAAAATGTATACGCAATAACTTGTTGAAGCGCATAATTAAATACAATTACAGAAATACTAATAGAGAGCTACTGAGAAGGCAAGACTATAAAATTAGGATTCAAAAGCAACTTTGGCAATGCTAATTTCTAATTTCATAATATGCGTATATTATGACGATTGACCTCAAACAGTGTGTGATCTTCTTCGTCGCTATTTACATCCTCAATGGCCATAGGCAATGGTGTCAATTCCTGATTGGCTCGATCGCCTTGTACACCATATTTACGCTCAGCTCGAGACAAACGCAAGCTGCAAGAATACAAACAAATATCATATATTATTATTAAGTAAACAATCTTGAGTTTGTGTACACATATGCACTGATAAGCAATCAGATGGCGCGTCAAGTCACGCTTCAAACTTATAAATAATTTCATAAATTAGCGAACATACGTACATACCTATATGTAAGTACATACATATATATATATATGTATATATACTTACCGATACACTCGCAATACCAATATCAATATGGCCGAGCTGGTAATGCCAACCATGATATAGAACACAGCTGTGTATGTTTCGGGAAAATCCATGTTATCGTTCAGCAAATTAAATTTGGATTGTTGGATGTGAACTTCGTCTACTGGTTCGATTCCAAGCTCCTTCGAAGCTGCGGGCTGCCGAATATGATCGACATCCTTGTGCTCATTTATTTCTTTATTTGCAGTAGCTGGAACCGGTGGACCCGGTCGTTCGCTTATGACCACCTCTTTTTCGCCTTCCACTGGCTTTGGTGGCGCCGCTACCGCTGCCGCATCATCAACAGTCAACGCCTTTTTCGCTGTTTTGTGCGCATCAGCTATTGCGCTTCCTTCGACATTTAAATTACGAGTAACATTTAAGTTTGTGGATAACTCCAATTTCTGCTGCTGGTCAGCTGCTGCAGCTACCGGGCAAGTTTGTTGCAATGCCAAGAACAACAAGGATACAGTCGCCACTGCGCGCGCCCAGTGCGGATAGTGCAATGTATTTGGCATGGCTTCCTTTAAAAATTGTGTTTTGTTATGGATAAATCGCCACACGGTGGGAAGTCGTATATAAAATACAATGCTATTGAACTATTGCCGTTTTTGTTTCAGTCATTTGCATTACTAGGGCTGAAATTTAGTCATTTTGACAGCAAATTCGATGTTTCCACAGAGCTGCCACCTGGCAGCAGAGCAAGTAATTATCGGTAGTATTAATCGATTACTCATATTTGTCGTATCACTGTTTTTTGTTAGTTGGAAAGTGAACAATTTTCACAACGCGAAAAACTCTAATTCCCCCTATAAAATAGATTACAATCTAATTTTAACACGATCTTAATATTAAAATACATCTGGCAACAGGTAATGTTTTATAAAAGTGTTTGTCCGTATGGTGTTTTGCAATTTGAGGTGTGATATAAAATGGCGTTGCACGGACAAAAGAAAAAGTGTGATCCAAACGAAGTTGCTTGCTGATCAAAGAAAAACGTTTATTAAAGAGCTTTGAGTATTCAATTTTATATTAAACTCAAAATTATTTAATGGTTTCTTTTAAATTGTACAAAATTAGCTTCCCATTGCATGAAAATGTTTAATTTGTGCTACATGTTACATACATCTGTATGTATGTATGTACTATACATACATGTACACATGTGCATGTAATTATATGCGTCTACATTTTTGCATTAGTGTGCGCGCATGTTTTTGCCAAACCAGGAAGTTGAATTATGTTGGTAGCAGCCATACACGAACAAACAAATGCGTGGTGTATACACTGAAATATTTAACCACTTTATGGCATAAATCGCTGGAATTAAATTTTCTACTGTTTGTATGACATTGACACTTTTTTGACGAGTGACTTCGAAGCTTTTTACTTTGTGGTGCGGGTGTGCCTGTGACGTGTTGGTACCTTATTGACGCGTACTACTGCTGTCTGTTCTTCATATTTTCAGATAAATCATTACATCCAAATTTTTTAGTATTTCATTTGCCAAAATTCCGACCAAAATAACTAAAACAAGAGCATCCAAACGACGTCATCTCGACAGCAACCCTCCGTCGTCGCAGTTGCCGTCGCCCGCTCCAGACCTCCCGCCAACATCACAGTTGCAACAACAACAGACCGACGGCAATCGACATTTGCCACCTGCTGCCAAGATGAATCGGTCAAATAATGGTTGTGCGCAAACCACACAAAAACCCGTAAATCTGGACGATATCTGGACTGAACTAGTCGATGGTATACGACAAGTTTTCGATCAAGATAAGTCATTAAACAGAAGCCAGTACATGAGATTTTACACGCATGTGTACGACTACTGTACAAATGTGACAGCAGCGCCCACTGGTCGTAGATCTGGTGGTGCACAGTTGGTGGGCAAGAAACTTTACGATCGTCTTGAGCAATTTCTGCAGGAGTATTTGGGCGATTTGCTTGACAAGTTCAAGTCAATCAGCGGCGAGGAAGTCCTTCTCTCGCGCTATACAAAACAATGGAAATCATACCAGTTCTCCAGCACTGTGCTCGACGGCATTTGCAATTACTTGAATCGCAATTGGGTAAAGCGCGAATGTGAAGAGGGTCAAAAGGGCATCTACAAGATTTACCGCCTGGCTCTAGTCACCTGGAAGATGCACCTGTTTCAAGTTCTTAACGAGCCGGTTACAAAGGCAGTCCTCAAGTCCATAGAGGAAGAGCGTCAGGGTAAACTTATTAACCGCTCACTAGTACGCGATGTAATCGAATGCTATGTGGAGTTGAGTTTTGACGAGGAGGAGACAGACAGCACTGAACGAAAATTATCGGTGTACAAGGACAACTTTGAACGAAAGTTTATTGCCGACACCTCCACTTTCTACGAGAAAGAATCTGAAGCGTTCCTATCAGCCAATACGGTGACTGAATACTTGAAGCATGTTGACAATCGTCTCGAGGAAGAGAAACAGCGCGTGCGCGGCCCAAACTCAACGAACGCCATGTCTTATTTGCACGAAAGCACAGCCGAGGCGCTTAAATCGACCTGCGAACAGGTGAGTTTTATGAAGCACATTGGCGGCTAATTTTACTATGAATGTACTTACATTTCGCTCTCCCAACTATAGGTATTGATCGAAAAGCATTTGAAAATATTCCAAACCGAGTTCCAGAATTTGCTAAACGCCGACCGTAATGATGATTTAAAACGCATGTATATGCTGGTGGCGCTATCTCCAAGAAATCTAAATGACTTTAAAATCATCCTGGAGATTCACATTTTGCAACAAGGAACCGATGCAATTGAGAAGTGCGGCACCACTGAAGCGGCCAATGATCCGAAGATCTATGTACAAACCATTTTGGATGTTCATAAAAAATATAATGCACTTGTTTTGACGGCTTTCAACAATGACAATGGTTTTGTAGCTTCCCTAGACAAGGCCTGCGGAAAATTCATCAACACAAATGTGGTAACCAATGCACATACCGCCAGTAAATCCCCCGAATTGCTTGCCAAATACTGCGATTTGTTGCTCAAGAAGTCTGCCAAAAATCCAGAAGACAAGGAGCTTGAAGATAATCTGAATCAGGTTATGGTGGTTTTCAAATATATTGAAGATAAGGATGTCTTCCAGAAATACTATTCAAAAATGTTGGCAAAGCGTTTAGTAAACCATACATCGGCATCGGACGATGCTGAAGCCATGATGATCTCTAAACTGAAACAGACGTGCGGCTATGAGTACACCATTAAGTTGCAGCGTATGTTCCAGGACATTGGTGTTTCCAAGGATTTAAATACAAGCTTTAAGCAGTACCTGCAAACGGAAAATATTACACCCGAAATTGACTTTGGCATCGAAGTGCTCTCTTCCGGCTCATGGCCATTTATGCAGAGCAATAATTTCCTATTGCCTTCAGAACTTGAGCGTTCCGTACAGCAATTCAATACATTTTACGCTGCTCGTCACTCCGGCCGCAAACTTAATTGGCTGTATCACATGTGCAAGGGTGAACTTATTATGAGCGTCAACCGTAACAATTCCTCAACCGTCTACACATTGCAAGCGAGCACGTTCCAAATGTCCGTGCTGCTGCAATTCAACGATCAGCTTAGCTTCACAGTGCAGCAGTTGCTGGACAACACACAGACCCAACTGGAAAATTTGATCCAGGTAAGCACGAAAACAATTTCGATATAGGACTATTAAACAATATTTGTATCCTTCTCAGGTACTGCAAATACTGCTCAAGGTGAAAGTACTCACCTCAACTGATAATGAGAATTCGCTGACACCAGAGTCGACAGTAGAACTATTCTTAGACTACAAGAATAAGAAACGTAGAATCAACATTAATCAACCGTTGAAGACTGAGCTTAAAGTGGAACAGGAGACTGTACATAAACACATCGAGGAAGACCGCAAACTGTTGATTCAAGCTGCAATTGTGCGCATCATGAAAATGCGCAAGCGTCTGAATCACACTAATCTTATCTCGGAAGTGCTCAATCAATTGTCAACGCGCTTTAAGCCCAAGGTGCCAGTCATCAAAAAATGCATTGATATATTGATCGAAAAAGAGTATCTGGAACGCATGGAGGGACAAAAGGACACCTATAGTTATCTCGCCTAATTTTTATGTTTAATTGAGATGTTCGCTTTTTTCATCTGGGATAGCCATTAGAAGTCATCAACATGATCATATCACAAACCCACGCACCAATATAAAAACAAAATAAACCTGCAGTTTCCCAATACCTTCCAGCATAAAAAAGCACCCCTACCCGAAATCATTTTCCCCTTGCCACTTGGAAACCTTTGTAATAGGCGTTACCGCTGAGGAAGCTTGAATCTCTTAAGCATACCGCCAGCAACGTATGTAAAAAGTAAAAAAAAAAACAAGTACATTTATACATACACACATACAAATTATGCAAGCACAGTTAAAATTCATTTAGACTTTTTTATTTTGTTCATCCTAATATTTGTTCGATGAAGATATGTTTTAGTATACTTTGTTCATAGTTTTGTTTACGCATACATACTTATTATTATATTAAAATATAAAAAAGAAGAAATATAAGTTTGATGCAGTTATAAATTGTAAAATGAATCAGTTTTTTGTACTCTTGTAGAAAACTTTTTCAAAAGCTATTATTTTCATGTGTATTCATTTTGTCCTCCAAATGAAATCCCTTGGCGATGGTGTACACAGTTAAAGCGAATTTGGCTACCTGCGGAAATATTTCAACGTTTCCTTAAAGTATGTTAGTACTATAGTGTGTGATTACTTTAACTCACATTGATATTTGTGGCCAAGTTAATGTTGAAAATGTTCATGGCCGTAAATGTCATGGGGTGTTGCAACTTTAGCATAAACTGTAATACCGCTTTCTTGTAGCGCTGACTTTGTTGATGCCACGGAGAGTGAAATAACTCATCAGCTAATATATTACAATCATGGATAAGGCAATCGCAATAGTAACAAAGTGGAAAAGATTGCAGGAGCACGCCCAGCACGTAGAGCACAATTGAAAATCGGTTTGATGGATCCGCAAATATTAGTAGATTAATAGTGGTGATGCCCAAAACCGAACCGCATATCAAGAACTGGGCAAAAATTGTTCGGGAAATTACTGGTCGGATTATTTTACACAATCTAATGGGAACAATAGATAATGATACATTACATTTCTAAAACGTCATAAACACTTTTCAACAGATGATGTTAATAATAAACAATTCAATTATTCGGTCCCAAGCAAGTTAATAGTGATAATTGTTAATCTTGTAGCAAAGTTCCGGATTGGTATAGACGATTCATGAACCGTCGGAATGGCTTGAGTGAAAGGGAAGCGCTATAAGAACGTCGAAATTATCGAAAATGCTTGTACCATTGTTTGGAAGGACATGTCGGCGAAGACTCTTTTGAAGTACTTCGTGCAAAGCGATTTATTGAATTAATGGAATATTATAAAATTCATTTTACCAAAATATCAGTCGCTCTATTTCAAAAAGTCTTCTGTACTTCGGAACCCAAATTTTATTGCCCTATACCCAAATGGTAAACTGGTATACTAGATTTGTTCGAACTTATGTAACACACAGAAGGAGGTATGGCAGACCCTGCAAAGTTGTCAGCATGACAAGACGAGTCGATATAGCTTGTCCGTCCGTCTGTCTGTCTGTATGAGCGCAAGGATCCCAGAAAGTACAAGAGCTAGAATAACCAAACATGGTATTCAGGTTCTCCCGAGTTTGTTTATTTTTTCTAAATATTTTGTATTTAATTAATTTATTAAATTATTTTTTTTATTTTTTCTTTTTTTGTGGAGAGCACAGGCTTTTTTGCTGTCAGGCTTGCGCGACTGTAGCGTTCTATCTTGTTTTATTTAATTTAATTAATTAATTAAAATTTTTTTTATTATCCTGTTTTGTGGAGATTACAAGGTATGTACCGTTGTTATGGCTTAAAGAGGTAAATCACCACAGTTTGATCTACATAAATAAAATGCATACATATGTATGTATATATGGATATACATGATCATGGGATCATATTGATATCACTTACTCCAACATTGTTTTGTGTGCCTCAATGCATTCTACGAGTGCTGCGTAGCTATCCTCTTCTGAAGTATGTGAGGCTGTATCCAGCTTCACCCCCATGTTTTGTCCGCCTAATTTCTGGACACGATCCTTAAGCAAGTTTACATGCTCACGCAGTGCCTCCACAAACATAACGCCGTAACAGTCGACTGCTGTGACCACTAAGATGGAGTAACCTATGAGCACGTACTCCACGAATGCATGGACGATTAATTGCGTGTGACCCTCACGCCAATTCACAAATGGATAATAGGTATTGAAGGCGACGCGGTTGTTCAAAAGTGCATCTAAAAAACTTGAAGTGGCATAACAGAAACATACCGTTGTGAATATCAGGTACAATTTATTGCACTTGGCCACTGTTCCACGAATTCGTAGTTGCTCCTCCTTGGAAACACAATACACATCAAGTGAGTCCAAACATTTATTAGCTTGTTCCATACGTTTCTCGTAAAAGACTACAGCTATGAACTTCAAAGTGAAGAACCAAGAGTTTAGGGCTAGTTGTAACGTTATGAGCAGACTAGCGGGTGTGAACTCGGAATAATACTTAATGAAACTTAACAAGAAACTAAGCGGTAGGTAGCACATAATGTAAAAATACGAGATGAGCCGCCAGAATAGTTTCCAGTAACTAATATCACCATTTAAATTCATTCCAGAAATCCGAAATATATTCATTGTGTAAATGTTCGAGTCCCGAGTACCAGTAGGAACGCTCAATGGCGCCGGATAGATGCGCTTGAAGAACATTTCTCAAACTAGTCAATTGCCCCCGGTATAAAAGGATCCTTATATAGTGGAATCCGTACTATTTGTTTTTCTTTTCATGTGCGTTTAGTTGTATAACCTTTTAATTAAGGGCTTAGCGATTAATTGCTGGGACGTCACCACAAATTATCTCCCAAAATATTTTGCATTATTTCCGAAACCGTTTATAATTGCACCAACCAACAAAATCGGAGCATTTTTATACCGCAAATATTTACATCGTATTTAAAAGCAACCAAATAGCAACAAATAATATCTTATTCAAAATATAAAATGTATTTTCCCGTTAACTGAATTGTTAAATGCGATTATTTCAATACCTTTTGTTTTATAATTATACCAGCAGTGGACCGCAGTTAATGGAAATTGGATGACGGTAGAACATACAGTTATTACAGAAAATAAAAGAAGAAACCAGGACGGTTTAGCTCTCCAAGCACCTTCAAATAGCTGTTGCCTAGTGTAATCAACACATTGCTGGGAAATCGCATGTGTCCACTTCTTTGATATGCACGGATTATGCATTCGCTGTACACATGAAACCCTAAAATGGGGCGTAACTACGCCCACAAACTGCAGCATCGGATTCGCTCTTCTTCTTTTTACTTCTGCTACGCACGCTATTCGCGTATATACATATATACATACTATACTATAGGTATGTATGTATATACATAACTCAACGTCAGCAATTTGTTTGGATACAGGGTATTTCACTGTCGGGCATGCTCGACTGTAGCATTTCTTCTTGTTTATTGTTGCATGTGTGGTAAAATGTACAGTCGTCGACAAAAGTATTGGCAACATGTTCATTAATTGTTAAGGACCAAATTAATCGAAATTATCGACGTGAACTTGATATTATTAATTATACTCTGTACATAAAATGTACAAGAGTATATTAGGTTTGCGGGAGCTGAAAATGTAACAGGCAGAAGGAGGCGTGGCAAACCCCACAAAGTATATATATTCTTCATATTCGATCTAGCCCTGTCTGTCTGTCCGTCTGTCCGTATGAACACCTGTATCTCAGAGACTATAAGAGGTAGAGACACCAAACTTTGCACAAAGATGCGTTATGTATGTACGCTGTGCAAGTTTGTTTTATTTTTTTGATTTTCCCCCCACTTCCCCCCTATGGGGGTTTTCCCGATGTTTCATCCGTATAATCGCCTATATATCGGAGACTATTAGACCTACGGACACCAAATTTTAGTCCCAGATGCCTTATGTGAATACGCAGAAAATGTGTGGAATTTCCCTCCATCCCCCCTCTCCCATGCAAATCGCGATTTTCTATAACTCCCGTAATTCTTAGAATTTCGAAATTTCAAATTTTGCAAATAGCCCCAGTTAGTAATTATGTATCCGTATGCCAAGTTTCATTATGATGGACCGATTTAACAAGAAGTTATATAAATATATTTGCTGCTGCAGCGCTGCCCGCTGCTGTTGATGTTGCTGTTTGGTTGACTGCTAACATGTTTACTCAGACACGAATATACGAGCATATACATACATACACTCACACAGACGCACTTGCTTTGTATATGTGCAATTATACACCCTTTACGTGAGTTCGAATACCAAAAGAGGTAAAATCAATCAAACAATTTTGTTTAATTTCTCTTACTTTTTATTTTTCTATATTTATTCTAAACATATGTACAGAGTATTTCAAAGTCGGGACACCCGACTTTAGCTCTTTTACTTGTTTTTAGCGGGTCTTGTCCGTCTTTAATGAGTTCAGTATTTTTGCGTACAACTATAAGTTTAATTTCAATCTGCTTATTCTATTCCGACATTCTCTAAAGTTTCCAATAGCAAATTATTTTAGTACGTTCCGAAAGCTATGTACAAATGTATGTAAATTTCTGAAAAATAAAAATTATAACAGTCTGAAATTAAATTAAGAAATGTCTAATAAATTAATCTGCGATTCTCAATCCAAGTACCTAAGCGCTGGCAAATCAAGAGTTAAATTTTGAAATTTCTGCAAAATTAAATATTAATAATATGCAACTAAATAGTGAAATTTCTGATAAATTATATAAAAATATTGTGGGCTCCCTCCTCTGCGATTCTCATACCAAGTACCTAAGCGCTGGCAAATCAAGAATTAAATTGTGAAATTACTGCAAAACGAAATATTAATATTGTGAAATTAAAAAGTGAAATTTCTGATAAATTATATAAAAATATTGTGGGCTCCCTCCTCTGCGATTCTCATACTAAGTATCTAAGCGCTGACAAATCGAGAATTAAATTGTGAAATTTCTGCAAAATTAAATATTAATAATATGGGATTAAATAGTGAAATTTCTGATAAATTAAATAAAAATATTGTGGGCTCCTTCCTCTGCGATTCTCATGCCAAGTACCTAGCACTGGCATATCGAGGATTAAATTGTGAAATTTCTGAAAAATGAAATATTAATATTGTGAAATTAAAAAGTGAAATTTCTGATAAATTATATAAAAATATTGTGGGCTCCCTCCTCTGCGATTCTCATACCAAGTACCTAGCACTGGCATATCGAGGATTAAATTGTGAAATTTCTGAAAAATTGAATAATAATATTGTGAAATTTCTGATAAATTAAATAAAAATATTGTGGGCTCCCTCCTCTGTGATTCTCATGACAAGTACCTAAGCGGTGGCAAATCAAGAATTAAATTGTGAAATTTCTGCAAAATTAAATATTAATAATATGCAACTAAATAGTGAAATTTCTGATAAATTATATAAAAATATTGTGGGCTCCCTCCTCTGCGATTCTCATACCAAGTACCTAGCACTGGCATATCGAGGATTAAATTGTGAAATTTCTGAAAAATTAAATAATAATATTGTGGGCGCCCTCCTCTGCGATTCTCATGTCAAGTACCTAAGCGCTGACAAATCGAGAATTAAATTGTGAAATTTCTGCAAAATTAAATATTAATAATATGGGATTAAATAGTGAAATTTCTGATAAATTAAATAAAAATATTGTGGGCTCCCTCCTCTGCGATTCTCATACCAAGTACCTAGCACTGGCATATCGAGGATTAAATTGTGAAATTTCTGAAAAATTGAATAATAATATTGTGAAATTTCTGATAAAATAAATGAAAATATTGTGGGCTCCCTCCTCTGCGATTCTCATACCAAGTACCTAGGCGCTGGAAAATCAAAAATTAAATTGTGAAATTTCTGCAAAATTAAATATTAATAATATGCAACTAAATAGTGAAATTTCTGATAAATTATATAAAAATATTGTGGGCTCCCTCCTCTGCGATTCTCATACCAAGTACCTAGCACTGGCATATCGAGGATTAAATTGTGAAATTTCTGAAAAATTAAATAATAATATTGTGGGCGCCCTCCTCTGCGATTCTCATGTCAAGTACCTAAGCGCTGACAAATCGAGAATTAAATTGTGAAATTTCTGCAAAATGAAATATTAATATTGTGAAATTAAAAAGTGAAATTTCTGATAAATTATATAAAAATATTGTGGGCTCCCTCCTCTGCGATTCTCATACCAAGTACCTAGCACTGGCATATCGAGGACTAAATTGTGAAATTTCTGAAAAATTGAATAATAATATTGTGAAATTTCTGATAAATTAAATAAAAATATTGTGGGCTCCCTCCTCTGCGATTCTCATGACAAGTACCTAAGCGGTGGCAAATCAAGAATTAAATTGTGAAATTTCTGCAAAATTAAATATTAATAATATGCAACTAAATAGTGAAATTTCTGATAAATTATATAAAAATATTGTGGGCTCCCTCCTCTGCGATTCTCATACCAAGTACCTAGCACTGGCATATCGAGGATTAAATTGTGAAATTTCTGAAAAATTGAATAATAATATTGTGAAATTTCTGATAAAATAAATGAAAATATTGTGGGCTCCCTCCTCTGCGATTCTCATACCAAGTACCTAGGCGCTGGAAAATCAAAAATTAAATTGTGAAATTTCTGCAAAATTAAATAATAATATTGTGAAATTAAAAAGTGAAATTTCTGATAAATTAAATAAAAATACTGCGATTCCCATGTCAAGTACCTAAGCGCTGGCAAATCAAGAATTAAATTGTGAAATTTCTGAAAAATTAAATAATAATATTGTGAAATTAAAAAGTGAAAATTCTGATAAATTAAATAAAAATATTGTGGGCGCCCTCCTCTGCGATTCTCATGTCAAGTACCTAAGCGCTGGCAAATCAAGAATTAAATTGTGAAATTTCTGAAAAATTAAATAATAATATTGTGAAATTAAAAAGTGAAAATTCTGATAAATTAAATAAAAATATTGTGGGCGCCCTCCTCTGCGATTCTCATGTCAAGTACCTAAGCGCTGGCACATCAAGAATTAAATTGTGAAATTTCTGAAAAATTAAATAATAATATTGTGAAATTAAAAAGTGAAATTTCTGATAAATTATATAAAAATATTGTGGGCTCCCTCCTTTGCGATTCTCATGCCAAGTACCTAAGCGCTGGCAAATCAAGAATTAAATTGTGAAATTTCTGAAAAATTAAATATTAATAATATGTAATTAAATTGTGAAATTTTTGAAAAACGAAATAAAAATATTGTGGGCTCCCTCCTCCGCGATTCTCATACTAAGTACCTAAGCGCTGACAAATCAAGAATTAAATTGTAAAATTACTGCAAAATGAAATATTAATATTGTGAAATTAAAAAGTGAAATTTCTGATAAATTATATAAAAATATTGTGGGCTCCCTCCTCTGCGATTCTCATACCAAGTACCTAGCACTGGCATATCGAGGATTAAATTGTGAAATTTCTGAAAAATTGAATAATAATATTGTGAAATTTCTGATAAATTAAATGAAAATATTGTGGGCTCCCTCCTCTGCGATTCTCATTCCAAGTACCTAAGCGCTGGAAAATCAAAAATTAAATTGTGAAATTTTTGAAAAATTAAATAATAATATTATGAAATTAAAAAGTGAAAATTCTGATAAATTAAATAAAAATATTGTGGGCGCCCTCCTCTGCGATTCTCATGTCAAGTACCTAAGCGCTGGCACATCAAGAATTAAATTGTGAAATTTCTGAAAAATTAAATAATAATATTGTGAAATTAAAAAGTGAAATTTCTGATAAATTAAATAAAAATATTGTGGGCGCCCTCCTCTGCGATTCTCATGTCAAGTACCTAAGCGCTGGCACATCAAGAATTAAATTGTGAAATTTCTGAAAAATTAAATAATAATATTGTGAAATTAAAAAGTGAAATTTCTGATAAATTAAATAAAAATATTGTGGGCGCCCTCCGCTGCGATTCTCATGTCAAGTACCTAAGCGCTGGCAAATCAAGAATTAAATTGTGAAATTTCTGAAAAATTAAATATTAATAATATGTAATTAAATTGTGAAATTTTTGAAAAACGAAATAAAAATATTGTGGGCTCCCTCCTCCGCGATTCTCATACTAAGTACCTAAGCGCTGACAAATCAAGAATTAAATTGTAAAATTACTGCAAAATGAAATATTAATATTGTGAAATTAAAAAGTGAAATTTCTGATAAATTATATAAAAATATTGTGGGCTCCCTCCTCTGCGATTCTCATACCAAGTACCTAGCACTGGCATATCGAGGATTAAATTGTGAAATTTCTGAAAAATTGAATAATAATATTGTGAAATTTCTGATAAATTAAATGAAAATATTGTGGGCTCCCTGCTCTGCGATTCTCATTCCAAGTACCTAAGCGCTGGAAAATCAAAAATTAAATTGTGAAATTTTTGCAAAATTAAATAATAATATTGTGAAATTAAAAAGTGAAATTTCTGATAAATTAAATAAAAATATTGTGGGCGCCCTCCTCTGCGATTCTCATGTCAAGTACCTAAGCGCTGGCACATCAAGAATTAAATTGTGAAATTTCTGAAAAATGAAATAATAATATTGTGAAATTAAAAAGTGAAATTTCTGATAAATTAAATAAAAATATTGTGGGCGCCCTCCTCTGCGATTCTCATACTAAGTACCTAAGCGCTGACAAATCGAGAAATAAATAGTGAAATTTCTGAAATATTAAATACAAATATTTAGCCAAAAGAAATACAGCAACTAATTGATTTTATTTAGTTTTTTAACAAAGGTAACATAACATCACCTATCCCTGCAACAGAGTCATGTCTTTGTTGGTAGATAATTATTTATCTAGGCGTCTTTATAATGTAGGAAAGAGGATTAGTTTGTAAACAATTTAAATGTCTTTAATGGTGTTACTATTTAGTTGCATTAAAGGTTTATTTCAGACCTTTTCCTCTTACTTTTTCTTTTTCCCGCCCTTCTCAGCGGCTCGGACAATATTATCCATGTTCTTAGTCAGATCATACAGAACTTGGTCGATCATATCAAGACGAGCATATAAGCTGAAAATAAAATATTAATTTACTGCAAATTGAACTAAAATGAAATACACACGTATCTAAGTCCTCATCTATATCCTCCAGCTCCTTTTGTTTACGCCTTCAGAAAGATACGCAAAAATTAACTAGATAAATACCGGGCATATATTAAACTTACAGATCTCTCAATTTCTCGGGGGTCAACGCAGCACCGTGTGATTTATTCTGTTTCCAACTGGGGTAAGCGGGCGGTTTAAATATGCCTCTCGATAAGCGAAACAAGTGTTTTTTTAAGACATAGCACAAAAAACTAGGCTTAAAAACCATTGTTGATTGAGACGTTCGATAGGCTAATACAATCACTGCAAGGAACATATTCTGAAAGAGATTTAAGTTAGGTGCCTCCAAAATGAACAGGGTTTTAGGTTATCCTCTCATAACATCGCTGTCATAGAACAAATTAACTTACCAGTAATATAAAAAACATGATCATTACATACGAAATAAAATATAATGGACCGAGAATAGGAAATTTTTGCTCTAACTGAAAATAACTGAAGTCTGCCACTAATATGCGGACCGTTGTAAGCACGGACCAGTTGAAATCTTTAAAGTTGATATTTTTGGTTCCAAAAAGCAACAAACCCAATACACCATAAGCAATGGAAACAATTGCAAACATTATAAAAAAGGCCGCCAAGTCAGTCGCAGCCTGAAAAGAAATTTTAAAGCCAATTAAGCTGCGGGAATACACACACACAGTTCCGTACATCGCTGATAGCATGTCCCAGTTTTTTCAATACTGGATTAAAATCCATAAACTTGAGAATACAGATCCAGGAGAGGCATACTAGTATAGCTAAATTGTACCGATTTATAATGTGCCAATAGGACAAATTATCCAAAGGGATGAATTCCGTTGTTGAACTGATTTTTTTGGCAAGATAAGAGATTTCCCTATAATGGTAAATGCAATAAACCAAGAATGCATAAACAATCTGAGGGAAGGTAGTTAAAGCATTTACGAGAAATCATTCCCTAGCATCTCTTAAACATACCATCGTTCTGGTTACATCTACATAGTTTGTGATATTTCGAATGAAATGGTAATTCCCAATCAAAATATACTTCTTAATATCAGCATAGGTATAGTATAAATTTATCACAAACATGCCTATTGCACAATAAAATACCCAACTGGAACTGGTGCCTTTTGCCTCGAGCGGATCTTCGTGGACAGTCTTAAAATACATGTTTGGGTTCACAAGTCCAGTGGGTAATATCTCTGCAATAAACCTGAAGAGTAATTGCGAGTAGATATGAGCCATGGGTTACATCTAGGCCATATGCCAGGGCGGTAACTTACTTTACGATCTGGAATTTGCGCATGTTCATATTATAAGTATTGAACTCGAGCACGGCCAAACGAGAACCACGGTCAAGCCAATTAATCTTTTTAAGTTCTCTCACAATCCTATAGTTTTCTTCCTTATCATAGGTCAAATTTTGAACATAGCCAGCACTAGAGTATGTGTGAACCGATCCCGTTAGTGTAGTGATCCCCAGCGCAGACGCTTGATAAAATTTTGTGCTGCAAAAGTACATATGAACTGAGCATTGAAAAAAGCTTCTGCTCGCAATTACCCTTTATATTCTGGGTCGGTCAATTCATCGAACGGAGAGTAGGATGCATAGCAATTATTGAAATATCTAATGAATGCATAGTTCATTAAACACGAATCGCTTCTTACACGAATCTGTCGTAGTCTTGGGGGTCCAAGCATTATGTTTTCGTTCAAAAATCTCGATCCACGCAGGGTTGGAGCCGTATTTACTAGAAATGTTTGATTTAATTCCATCCCTTCTATGCGCTCATCTGTGTAGTTTCCATACTCTTCAGTAAAGTTTCTGCCGTGAAAAAGCGGCAACGCCACTAGCTCTACGAAATACCAGAAATCTACTATAGTTGTTATATCGGAAAATTGCATTGGTTGGTTGGGCTTTATAAAAACCTTCCGTCCAAATAAGTGCATCATTCTGGAATTGCTATAGAAAACTGACTTTTCTGAAGCTGCATTGCAAACAACGGTGACACATATGAGGTATACTACGAAGATCGCCATTTGCCTTAAGGCGTTGTGTGTTTCCACCTCGCTGGTGTACCGGATGTGTCCATAGTTGGGCGGTTGATGGCGGTAGGAACTCATGTAGATTGGTTTCGTTTTTTGGGTGTATATTTGAGTGAATAATTTATACAAATATGAGTATGGAGTTGTAATTCAATGAAAAAATGTTTTCCTTAAATATTGTATACAATTTTTTTATTAAACATTTCTTAAAATTAATTACTAATATATAGCACGTACATTCGTATGCTTATATACACTGCAATGGCTTGCATTCAAAGTTGGTAAAATTATCTTGTATTTTCCCGGACTGCTAAAAACCCGTATACCCAGTTTCATGACTCGTAGCTCGTTTCATTTCAGAGATCCTTACTTTAATACATACAGGGCGGATGGGCATGTTTAGATTGACTCGTCCTGCTCTGTTGATCAAGAATTTCCATAAACAGAACAGCACATCTGCATAGACGCTGTAAGCCATGTCGTTTCTATTACAGCTATAAGTAAAATAATTATCAGTTCCAAAATAATATAACTGTACGCTTCAATACAGTCATAACGCGATTAAAACGGACAGGCAGGAAATCCGACGGAAGAATTTCCTTGTTTGTACCTTGTCCTTGAAAACGTTTACAATAGTATGTTCTCCATGATTCTTAACGAATTCTATTTAATTTTGAATTCAAAGAAATTGTATAGTAAATTTTATAATTTCAATCAAATTAATTAACAAATTAATTATCGAAGATACGTATATGAATCCCTCTTATGCGTACAAATTTGAAAGACCTATAAAACTCGTAGGATTACATAATTGATTAATATGCGCGTTTTGAAAAAAGACATGTGTTTTTGTACGATTAAAAACTAACAGACCTAAGCAACTTTTGTTCAAACAAAATACACAAAAAATAGGAACACGGAACAAGAACAAAAGCCGTACATACCGTACACTACGGCTGGCTATGTAAGCTATGGCTGCATTAAGGCTACTTTGATTATTCATTATTTAATTATTAGGTAGTATCATAAGACTATGTTGCGGAACACAGCGAGATCGGCAAACTAGGTGTTAATTTTACAAGGCAATTCAATCCTCATCGTCGAGGGTTAGCTCTTTTGTTTGGAATCGCATACGTTTCGTGTTCTTCACAATTCCATTCGTTAGCAAATTTGTACCAGGCTTATCACAAGGTAACTCGTTCCACGCGCGTTTAATTTGAGCGGCAGCAATAGAGTTGAAGTCGTACTTATTTCGTACTGAGGACGGTGATGGTGATACTGACGGGAGTTTGCGTAGCTTTACAACTGCTTTCTTTAAGCGCGAACTACTGGAGCTGCATACACTTGATTTATCTTCCTCATCATTTTCCACAGCTATAGTTTGCGCATTCATGGCGAGGGAACATCCACGCTTTTGTGGAGATATTTCTTTCGACTTAGCTGCTTGGCTGCTGAATGGATATTATTCATATAAAACATTTAAATAATTGCTTATATGTTTTCAATTACCTCGTTTGTTGGTCATATATATTTAGGGTTGGCGGAGCAGCTGCACAATTTTTTCCGGGCTCCTCCGGATGGCAGCCGTAGTCCTCGCCCTTTAGCCAGTTTTCATAGCGTTCCGGCTGGAACCGACGTACAAATGTCTCCATTGATATCTTAACCATATCACTGCGACACTTGCAAATACTCGCTCGTTTGCCATACTCGATCCAACGCTTCGATGCGAAATTTGTAGACTCCGCGCCATTAAAGCCATGATTAAATCCGGCATGATAGCCGAAAGGAAAGGTTATCATAATCTCACCCGCCTCCTGTGTGATTTTATTGTAAGGTATTTTATGCTGCCGCAAAACCTTTGGACTTATCATTGTCATTTTGTGGCGTAAGTATGCGTTGCATTCCTGATAGCTATCGGTGAAAGTCTCGTTGGCCAACTTCTCTAAGCGCCTACCATAGGCCGGAGGAATGGCATACCAGGTTTTCGGAGCACCAAAATGCAAATAATTTATGGAGTACAAGTCCATGTCTTCCGTGTGCCAAGCAAATGAGCTTTTCCACATGCCAAAATACAAATAAGCCGTGTTCACACCGTCAATCTCTATGCCGTAATCCGTGTTCACTAAATTGAGAATGGTGTCCAATCGATCAATGTTCCATGTATCTAAATCTTCATCACTTAGAGTTCCCTTTACGTCCGCCGCATACATAGGCGATATGTACGTTATATTTTTCCAGTATTTCCGCTCTAAATCCTCATAGTCCAAGTGACGTGGAGTCTAGTAACAAAATAAATACACTGTATCAATACACCGTACTAATAATGCAATCCTCTCATTCACCTGATGCAGCTCCGAGTTTGCTTTTTCCATAAACTGACGCAGCGTCATCTGACGTTGTTGTATGTTTATTTGCTGGTACATACCTTGCGTTCTATCCAGGCACAAAGTACACAACATTTTAATTATAATAATAAAAATCTTTGTAATAAGGCGTCAAAACTTACCCCGTTACCACTTGACATATCGGTGCCGGTATAGTCATATTAATGTTTTCGATGTCGTAACCAGATTTCCTCGGAACCCATTCCTTGGGTGGCTTTATTCGTGCAAGACCAGCAAGATGAGCTCCTCGCGACTCCATGTATTCAATGTACGAAGCAAAGTTCTTGAATTCTTCGTAGCTGGGGCGGAATGTCATTATTCGAGGTATTTTAGCTTGCTCGTCATCCCCAAATGCACAACGTGTAAACATATTGAGCGTTGAAATTATTATTTAATTTACTCTTTAAATTTCCGACCAGAGCTGAACCTGCGGCGAATTGACAACCCATGCAGCGTTAGGGATGCCAGAATTTTATGTTACTGAGTGGCAACGCTCTAAGGACCGGAGTTGCATTGTTAACTCAATTATTTAACCGCAGTATGATTTAAAAGAAAAAAAATTAACTTACAAATTATTGAGCTAAGGACCAGCTAATGGTTATAAATAAAATGTGTTTTTTTTACTTGTATGTAAACAGAGAAAATACTTCACCACGAAGTTCCTTTAAAAACGATATACATAAGTATGTATGTATATGTCGAAGGTATTATGATACCATAATGTATAAACAAATTATATAAATATATATTGAAGTATACTGGTTAGAGCTCAGAAAAAAAAAACATATTTAAACTTTACATAAAGAAAACGACAAATGTAATAAGAAGTTTTTACATACTTTTGTATTTTTTTTTTAGGAAATCACGTCCAGACAATCAGGACCCTTTGAAAAAATTATATATTTATTCGTCACGATTTGAACTTTGTTTTTTTATTTCCTTATTCAAAGAGTTTTTATACACACATAAGTGGCGAGCGAGCTTAAATAGCCCGTACACCATGCGTAAATGTACATAATATAGAGTACATAGTAGAGCATAGTATAGATAGCCCTTGGCAAACGGCTTGGCAAACAGACCCGACAAAGTTTATACATTATTTATTTATGTCTGCATTAACGGAAGGATCACGGGCAGTAGTAGAATAACTTAGTGTCCACCTACTCCAACACTCCATAATTTTTATTTCATTTTATTGGTTAACAAACATTATTAAGCAAACAAATGCCATATAAATGCCAGTTCCATTTAAATATATTTAAGCACACTTATTATTACGACACAACATTTAAATTCGAAAAATTGTAGTCGTACAGTCTGGGATACCAGGTTTGGGATTACTTCTGCGATAAATAGCTTTAGTGGGTACAGTAAGGAATTCTCTCTACCATTCATTTCATGCGTGCATATTAAAAAAACTAATGAATACCAATTCTGCCCTCGTTGTGTTCATAAACAAATTGTTACTCTAGTAAGATTCATTTTTAAACCGATCTGAGGCTTCTTTGGCTATATAAAGCTTATAACATTCTTAGTCTGCGTATAGATAACACAAGTCTGCATACCAAGTTTGGTGTCGTTGTTGTAGGTCAAAAGATCTCGATGTCTTTGTAGGTATAACATGCCGGCTACATATATACATACATTTTGTACATTGTGTATTTAGTCTTTCTAGTACAAGTATGCCCTTTTAATAATTTCAATTAAGTATGCCTAACTTTATATTCATTTATTTACAAAGTACAAACGCAATTACATATAACATTCAACTAAATATAACTAAGTGCCCTAAAATAACAACTTATAACAATTTTAATTCATCTTCTATGGAAAAGTAAACCGTCAACATTTTAATCAGACATTTCTATGAATTTTACAAAAACAACAAATTTATTAAAAGAAACTTAAACGATTAGTATACTGGTATCAGTAATAAAAAGGGTTTCTTCGCAATTTCCAGTTTAGATAGTAACAAATCAACAGATAAGAAGGCTGAGTTGGGGCTGCGTTGAACCCTAATCAAATATTAAGGGTTCAAACTAAAAACCACTTTTAAGACTAACCAAGGGATAAAACTCAATTAATTTGCGTATGATCGTATGATGAGCAAACTTCCCAAGAGTCAATTACTTTACGATTATTGTCGTGCGATAATGGGACTATAAACAGCGTCGTCTACGCTGAAGCACTGACACTTCACTTCGTTAATCGGCCCAAATTTGTATAAAAGCAACAGGTATACGCATAGTGCTGTTCAGTTTTCCATCAAAATTGCGCCGAAGTGGTTTACATGTGCATCACAAACCAATAAATTAGTATTTAACAAGAACCAAGTGTGTGTGAAGTGCCTTCGATAATTACATATACGTAATATTTGTTACAATTCGAAACGAGAACCATAAAATGGCTTTTGATAAAGCGGATAAATTAACAAGCGATTTCGAACAGCCTTCTAAACGTAAGTGCATTTTGGTTATGCTTCCTGTAGAGGTTTCAAAAAATTCCAAAAACTACCAACTTAAGACCTAAATAGAAAACTTCTAAGCAGTCACATTAAATTAAATCGGGATGAACTTTATAAAAATTGTAATGCTGAAAAGGAAATGTGAAAAGTAACATATTGGACACCCTTAATAAACACCATTATGTAGATAATCAACTGGAATTCGCGATTACATAAGGAAAAGTAAGCGCAGTCCGCATTCAAGGCAATACCTTGTATAATAGACTGTAATCAGCGCGAAGAGGTGCTTGATACCCGCCAAGCGCCCCATGAGAACAACATGCATAAAAGTGCTTATGTACTTACATATGTACATACATACTTGTACGTACATATGTATGTATATAAGTATGTATATGGACTAAGTATGGCGATAACTGCATGTCTTATATGTACCTACCTTCAAACAAACCTTTGGTTCTTCTCGATTACGAGTTTTTAATTGCAGAAAAATCCTTCATTCATAATGAGCAAACCAAAACAAATGACTCACTTTATAGATGTTTTTGTTTTCAAAATTAATGCCTTATTGACGTATCTTAGACGTCTTTTATTATTTGATAGGCATTCGCCCAAACATACATATGCATTATGTTTTTTCAAGAACACATATCAGTCAACTGTTTTATTGTTCGACATTGTACTTTTTAATGCATGAGATCTGTCGGATGATGCACTTTTATACATATGTACATATACATACGTATAAAGATAAGTACAAATTTGTCAATAGTATACGATATTGAAATATTGCGCCGTTAAATATTAACCTATATTTTAAATATCATCCCATAAACCCATTTAGCTTCATAAAGTAATCCATTTTCTGGCGTATAACCTTCGGTTTATCTTTGAAGACGTTTCTAAAAGCAGTTCAAATAATTTATTGAGTACGCAGTTACATACTTCTTCGAAACCCATGACTACACCACTGTTGCTTCAAACTTTTCCATTGAGAGTGATTTTTATTTTTTCCATTTGTTGTGTTAATGATAATGACACAGTATTTATTAATAAAGCAAAACCGCTCAGTAGAGCTGGTCGTCCGACAGACTATCAGAACATTCTTGGGAGGCAATCAAAATCTTAATTGAATAAAAAAAATCCTAGAAACCATCAGACAAACCAATAATTAGCACTGCAATTACATTGGTATAAAGCGGCGACACATTGCGATTCGCAGAAGACTAAGACATTTATTCAAACCGCTCAACCATGGTTTATTTAATAAGTAGTAATGAAAGGACACCGCTTTTACTCAGCATAGGTTCCATCCGTATACGAAATTGTGGGTTTTTTAAAGTTAATGAACAATATGTGCAACAATATGTGTAATTAATTTTATTAAATAGCAAATGGATTTGGAGCAAGACATGTGCAGGCGGTCCTCTTGTTTTTTGGAATGGTTTTCGGCTACTTCCTGCGCGTTAATATATCCGCTGCCATAGTGCCAATGACGAACCCGGTCTCCGACGCACCTTACTACGACTGGGACACTGATAAGAAATCCCTTATCCTGAGTAGCTTCTTCTGGGGCTATGTAGCTATACAAGTGCCCGCAGGTGAGTTTCTACATACTACAATATATAGTGCGATTTCAATTGTGTGAGTTTTCTACGTTAGGCTTGTTAGCGAAACGTTATGGTGCGAAAATTGTGCTCGGTGCAGCAACTGCCGGAGGTGGAGTCCTTGCATTTTTTCATCCACTTGCAGCTGCCACAAATGACGGCTGGATTGCCATTTGTGTTCTGCGAGTTTTAACTGGTATTTCTCAGGGTACTGTCTACCCTTGTGTTCACACATTATTGGCCAAGTGGGTGCCCTCAACCGAGCGTTCATTCCTTTCAACAACCATTTATTCTGGAGCCCAACTGGGCACGGCCATTATTTTGGCAACTAGTGGTGTGATATTTGATTCCAGCATGGGCTGGCCAGGACTTTATTATATCTCCGGTGGACTAAGCGTGGCCTGGGCCATTATATTCTTGTGGTTAGGCGCCAATGCCCCTGGAGACGTTGTCAGCATGAACAAAGTGGAACGCGAGTATATTGCAGCACTGACCGGCAGCGAAGGCAGCGGTCAGGTAAAGAATTATGATCTCCAATAAGTATGTATATGAGTAATAACCAAGAATATTTATTGCAGCCGATGGCCGTTCCTTGGAAATCCATCTTTACCTCACCGCCCTTCTATGGTCTGTTGGCTGCGCACTGTGGCTTCACCTGGGGCTTCTACACATTACTGACAGAAATGCCGACCTATATGAGTACTGTGCTGCAATTAAATGTTAAATCCAACGCGATGCTCTCGGCACTGCCCTACTTTGCCATGTGGATACTGTGTCTAGTGGTTAGTCCTATATCTGATCTGCTCATTAACCGGGGCACCCTAACGGTCACTACTGCACGCAAACTCTTTAACTCTATTGGTCAGTGGATACCAATGGTTTGTCTAATTGCGCTTGGCTACATGACTTCCGAAGAAAGAAACTTAGCTATAACCCTACTCACCATTGCGGTGGGCGTCAATGCGGGCTGCTCGTGTGGCTATCTTGTCAATCACATGGACTTGTCTCCAAATTTCGCGGGTCCTATGATGGGCATCACAAATGGGCTGGCTGGTGTTATGTCTATCCTGGCACCCCTTATCGTAGGCGCTATTGTAACAGTCGAGGAAAATCCTAGTCAGTGGCGAATCGTCTTCTGGATTACCGCTGCAATATATTTGGTGTGCAATTTAGTATTTGTGCTATTTGGCAAAGCCACAGTACAGACCTGGAACGACCCAAGTAACATGCCTAGCACTAGCACTATGACATTGCGGGACCATTCAGAATTGATTTCTAAAACGACAGCGCCAACGGAACGCAAGGAAAATCGTTTTTGATCCTACAACTGACATTATGATCTAATCTCAAATTTTAAGCTTAAATTTAGTTTTTTGTTAGCCACATAAGTTTGTGTAAATATGTATACCATTAAATGTGAATAAGTGCCAGATATTTCTTAAGTATGGGCTACCTGTGCTTTGACTTTATCATAAATATAGAGCCTTGGCCCTTGGAAGCTATTGTAAACTTGTGCACATTTTTAAAGCGCCTTAAATGCATAAAAATATGAAGATTAAGATTGTTTGTTCAGACAGTACGCCCTTAAAAGATAATGAGAGCGTCGCACGTGTCGAAAGGCAATATATAGTGTGTGGGGTCTCATGCTTCCTTCTGAGAATAACACACATTCGCATCACATTAGTATACCATTTTATGTTTTACAATTATCAGACTGTGAGAATTTTGTTTCGGCTTGTTTATTGTTACCAAGTAGAAAGCATGAGATAATCTTACGAGGACAGTTTTAATGGTTTTTAGTTTGTGTTTTTGATTCAAGCTATCAAAAATGTTCTTTCCGGCCTACATATACATACATATTTAATCTAATCTAATACAAACATGAATGAACAACTTAAGTTTGTTCTTATGGACGGATATATACTACATAATTTGGCAATTATTATTGGACTGCTTTGTTGGAAGGAGTAATAATCTGTGTGCTGTGCAGAGAAATGTTAAATGTATTTTTTATATAGTATTGTGTATTTGTTTGCAAAGAAATTATGAGTAGAGAAAAACACAACGTTCTGAAAATACTATTTTATTTTATTTATTTGTTGTTTTTTGCGGACACACAGTTTAGTTTACTTGCCGTGTGTCGGAAATTTAGTTGTAAGATTTTATGTACGCATAATGCATTAAAAGTGATATGATTAAACTACAACAAAAATTATGATATGATTCCCTGTTTACAAAGAATTTACATTTTACAATGGCTAATATAGTCATACGAAGCATGTGCCCCTTTATCTGTCGCTTGTGTGCCTTTCATGATTGACATGCGGCTTAGACCTAATACTGTTAAAACAATAGCATGTGTCAGTAGATGACTTACTGTCTGTTCAGACAATTGTTAGGTTAACAGACTTCTTAGTTATCAGACAGCTCGCATACTTGAAATAAAAATAATATACAAAAGTTATATACACAGTTTTATCTTGCACTGCGTCTTTCACATGAATCAGTGTTTATGACACAAACACTGCATTTTCTAACGAAAACGTCATTTGCCCATGATAAACCCTAACAAGTACCAGTCAGCCTCAACTCATTTGATTACACGTCACTACGATTTATCTAACAATATGCATACCCAAATAATTACTTCACTTTCTGCTGCAACAGTCGCTGATCATTCAATCTATAGTTAATGCGACGTGGCACTGACCTAGTCCTGATCACTGTCCAAATCGATAGTGCCCAACTGAGCGTGATTGTGGCATACAGAATTGGTGGAAAGGCTCTGCTATTTCCCACTGGAATTTCGGCTCTTAAAGCCGATTTTGGCTGATAGTCTGCGTGCAATTGTTTCCAACTGCATTGTTCGGTGTCTTTTTCTTCCCTGGCTAAATTCTCTTCGAAGCTAATTATCTCATAATTAAGGCAGAATAACTTATCTGGCTGTACAAGTAACTCATTTTTCATAAGCCCACGCTGAGTTGCTGGACAGTTGGCGTAAAGTACAGGTGTATCAATAACCACCGAAGCATAGGAGCTGAAAAATATTCGGTCTTTAAATGTGTCTAAAACAAGTAATATAGCGGAATAAACCCACCTATTATCACTTGGTGCGTGATAACGAAAATGTATCGGCAAGGTAAGTGTGTCCGTAATCTTTGGTGAGCCGCGCAACAAAACTGTAAAGGCATTGGCCTTCTCCGTTGGTTGTTCAATGTCCACGAATTTAGGGTAAACGGCAACTAGCTATATATTTAAGACAATGGATTATCCGCTCAGTCTGATGACATTAATATTACGCACCTTATTCAAACGTTGCAAGTCGTCTAATTCATCTGTGCTTACGAAGACAGCGGCAGGAAGTGACTGTTTCAGTATATATTTGCAATCCTTGTCCACCAAAGAAGGATGGAACTGTACGGTGTATGTGATAGTGCTATGGTGGAAAAAAAATATCGGAGTTATTTATTTCGCACTAACTTATTTTACAATACCGATGCATGCCGGCCTCTTCCATTTTAATGTCCACAATTGGAAGCTGAACTTGATCGCAATTTCCGCAGGTAGCCATCAGAATCAAAGCTTTCCATATCATAACATATTTTAATTTTGAACTTAATTCCATCTTGTTGCCTCTTTAATATGCATAACAGGCGGCGAAATCAATGTAAACAAACAATGAACTTGAATACCAGAGCTCTGTCGGTTCAGTTCCGCGAACTGGTATCACAATTGAACTACTGCCTCAAAATCGCCAAATCCCCTCCTAATAGACCATAAAGCGTTATTGCTTTATCGTTTCAGCAAATTATGATTAGAATTTAACTAAACCATCGTCCAAATTGTTTAATTTTTTATAAAGTACTGCCAACTGGTTCAGAAATAAACTTCCAATTTTTATTGTCTGATAACTTGTTCGTTTTAAACATTTGATCAATTATAAGTTGTTTTTTTTTTTAAATTTAAGTCTTAAACTCATACATCTATGAATGATTAGTTACGCGCTATTTAACTTCCTGTAGAGCTCTGATCCTTGGCGCGCTAATTTGTCGGCTATCTCATTCCCCTTAATACCTTTGTGTGCCTCAACGTAGTTCTGCATTGGAAATAAATAAAGTAATTTATTTGAATGTGTAGTTATTTTATTATAATACTCACCCATTTTACTTGGATGTCCCCTTTTTGCAGTAGCTCGTCCAGTTCCTTGAAATCAGCAATATTTTTTACTGGCTCATTATTTTTTAAACGCCAATTGTGACGTTTCCATCCTTTGACCCACAATGTTATAGAGTTTATTAAAAACTGTGAATCTGTGCTTATGCAAAGTTTGTGTATGCCCAAATCCCGGGCCGTTTTTATTGCATATATAGCTGCCTGTATTTCACCCACATTATTTGTGACGCGTCCCAACACGGGCTTTGCCGCATTTCTATAAATATAAGGAATTAATTTTATCAAGACTCTTACCTATAATATAATAAGGAAAATACATACAATTCGTGTTTTTCGCCAAAATAAACCCCAAAACCGGCTGCAGCATTAGACTGTCCATTGCGTAGGCATGAGCCATCCGTATAGACAATGACATAACCTTCGGCATCGATTTCAAACTCAAATGCCCCGATGCGTTTTAGCCCTGTTGCTTCTAGTACTGTGGAATTGTATCGTGGAATCTTTGTGTTGTAATTACCAGTACCGTCTACTTTCCGTTTCCTGCTGTCCGACTTCAATGGAAACCCTTCTACCTCATTCATCACCGAAATCTAATGGAAACGTAAGTTGTTAAAATTGTTTAAGACTTAGTAACAAACAACTAACCAAATCATCTTCTTTGATGTCGCTGAGCTCAAAATCATCTTCGACATCATCTGGCCAAAAATCTGTGGCTTCTGTTGCGGGCTGCTTGTTTTGTTTGGTGTGCCAACTTGCAGGCGGCGGCTCCTTACGACCAAGTGCTACTGCTACATTCGTTGGCACAAAATTTCTGCTGCATCCAGCTGCTCCAGGACCGATAAACTCCTCAGCCTCTTCTCGTGTTCTAAATTTTTTGTATAGGGCGCCTCTGAATCCTTTCACTTGCTCTTCGCATTGCGCCCACGATTCGTAAATACCAATTTTGCGTCCCTTTGAAACAGCATAATAAAACCCCATGGTACGAGCGCCAAGCTGCCGCAGGAGTTTTGGACGCAAAAAAAACATGCCGCAACTAGTATTTTTAACAGCTGCTCGTTTGTTTCTTTTCAGTGTTATAAAGTATTTGAAACTGTGCGCAGGGCCTTGCCAGACAGTGAGACCACTTCTGTGGTAATCAGGTGGACGTAGGAATAGTTTATTACTTTCTGTTGAAAAATGAATTACCCACAGCAACCGCCCTTGCCGCCTCCGCAGGATTTTTCAGCACCACCCCCTCCTCCCCCACCACCAGCAGATGCAGATGCAAACCGTTCACCGCCAGGAGTACACCCAGCCACTAACACATACAACTTTTCTCATCCGACAAGTGAAAATGCGGCTAACTACTCTGCCTACAGCTCGTCGAACTATTACAACTATGGAGCACCCCAATATTCTGCTGGGCCGCCGTCAGCAAATTACTATGCATCACCACCTGTGCCATCACCTTATACTGCCGGTGGCTACGATCCCGCAATGTCGTATGACCAGTATGGCCAAGGAAGCTACTCTTATGGTAGTTATAAATACCAAGAGAGCTACCCATCACAGAGTGGGTATGCCGCCCCCAATTACCGGCAACCAAGCCAGCGATATACGTCCCACAATCAAAGCTACAACAATTATTCCGGCTACAATAATGTGAACCGCTATGAAGCTAGACACAATTACTACCAACCACGGCCACCTCGGCCAACTCCACATAGCTATTACACTCCCAGAAGTGCAACAAACAACATTTCCTCCTACAATTCCACATCCAGAATCTATAGGGAACGGAGCGACCCCACGGAAAAGCAAAAAGCGAAACCCGAAACCGAGAGGGATCGACTTTTGCGACAGTGGTGTTCAAATTATTGTGAAAAACCAGAGGATTATATAAAGAAAATGAATGCTTTATGTGAGGCAGAGGCGCCAGCAGAGTCATGGGTACGTTCTTCGCCTGCTGAGCTCTATTATCAGCGCACCAAGAACGAAAATGAGGTGCAAAGTAAAGTTCGCCTGGAAAAGCTGTGCGATCTTTTCGACGAGGAATTGTTGCAGAGAGCTGGGCGCGTGCGAAAAAACTTGCCGCCTTATGTGCCACCACCACGAAAGGCGCGACGACGTGTGTGTAAGCATAAGTCAGAGGCATGCTCGTCTTCTAACGATGATTCGGATGACGAAGCTTTCAAAATTGAACAAGACTGCTGCATGGAGGAGCTTTCACGAAAGGTGCAGCACCCGCAGCGGATTCATGCCGATCTCTGGCACAACGATGAGGGGGAAATGAACGATGGGCCGCTATGTCGCTGCTCTGCAAAATCTAGGCGCATTGGTATACGCCATGGAATCTATCCCGGTGAGACGGGTTATAAGTTATGCGAAAAGGATTCAAACAATGCAGGCAGTTTGTATCACTACCGCATAACCATATCACCGCCTACTAATTTTTTGACAAAAACGCCAACCATTATAAAGCACGACGAGCACGAGTTCCTCTTCGAGGGATTCTCCTTGCTCTCGCATGTTCGGCTCACCGATCTGCCCGTGTGTAAGGTCATACGTTTCAATATTGAATACACTATTGAGTACGATGAAGAGAAAATGCCGGAAAACTTCACCATACGCGAGCTGGACTTGTTCTGTAAGTAGTTTATTTAAAACTTTATAATGATAATACATTTTGCATATAGAGTTTTAAAATTTTGGCTAGCATGGACTGTATATGTATGTACACACTTTCGTAAGCTATAATTAATTCCCCTTTTTTTGCAGTCAAGTATCTATTTCATGAGTTGTTGGAGCTAGTTGACTTTATGTTGTTGCCCAATGGCAATAGCAGTGCCGAGGAATCCTGTCCAGCATTTCACTTTCTGCCTCGATTTGTGCGGGAGCTGCCAGATAATGGCAAAGAGGTGCTGGCCATGTGCGAGGTGCTTAAGTATCTTCTCGATAATGCAGCTCCACTGGTCGATCGTCAACAGCTACTACATCTTAATGAAATCAGTCAGCACGAATGGCAGGACTATGTGGACTTCATAAAGGGGATGCTTGTCACCAAGCCTGGATACAAACCATGTTCGTTACGTGTCGATCAATTGGATCGCAATAACTCTGATCTGCCCGAATGCGTTGATCCAGAGACAGGCATTTCGCATCCGGCAATTGTGCATTTTGGAATTCGCCCGCCCCAACTTAGCTACGCTGGTAATCCAGAGTATCAAAAAGCTTGGCGAGAATATGTAAAGTTTCGTCATTTAATGGCCAACATGTCGAAGCCATCGTTCAAGGATAAACGCAAGTTGGAGGAGAAGGAGCTGCGCTTGCAAGAAATGCGTACTCAGGGACGTATGAAGCGCAATATTACGGTTGCAATTAGCTCTGAGGGCTTCTACCGCACTGGCATCATGTGTGATATGGTACAACACGCAATGCTCATACCTGTGCTTACAGGCCATTTGCGTTTCCACAAGTCGCTAGATTTGCTTGAGGAGAGTATTGGCTACAAGTTCAAGAACCGCTATCTTTTGCAACTGGCACTGACACATCCTTCGTATAAGGAGAACTATGGCACTAATCCGGACCATGCTCGCAACTCTCTGACCAATTGTGGCATTCGCCAGCCTGAGTATGGAGATCGCAAGATCCATTATATGAACACACGCAAGCGGGGCATTAACACACTCGTGAGCATAATGTCACGCTTTGGCAAGGATCATGAGACTCTTTCCAATATTACGCACAATGAACGCTTGGAGTTCTTGGGCGATGCCGTCGTCGAGTTTCTTAGCTCTATTCATTTGTTCTTTATGTTTCCGGAACTGGAAGAAGGTGGACTGGCTACCTATCGTGCGGCAATTGTACAAAATCAACACTTGGCATTGCTTGCCAAAAAGTTGCAGTTAGAAGAATTTATGTTGTACGCACACGGCTCCGATTTGTGCCACGAATTGGAACTGCGTCACGCCATGGCCAATTGCTTTGAGGCGTTGATGGGCTCCCTCCTTCTTGATGGTGGCATTAAGGTAGCGGATGAGGTGTTTACCGATGCACTCTTTAAGCAGGACGACAAACTGTTGAACATATGGAAAAATTTGCCCGAGCATCCGTTACAGGAACAAGAACCCCTGGGAGATAGGAACTGCATCGAGTCTTATCGTGTGCTGAAAGAGCTCACCAAGTTTGAAGAATCTATAGGCATAAAGTTTAAGCACATACGTCTGCTAGCGAGAGCGTTCACCGATCGCTCTATTGGGTTTACGCATCTCACGCTCGGATCGAATCAACGACTTGAGTTTTTGGGCGACACTGTCCTGCAATTGATTTGCTCAGAATATCTATATCGGCATTTTCCGGAGCACCACGAGGGTCATTTGTCGCTGTTGCGCTCCTCATTGGTCAACAACCGTACACAGGCCGTAGTATGCGATGATTTGGGGATGCCCACATATGCTGTCTATGCCAACCCTAAAGCTGACTTAAAGACCAAAGATCGAGCCGATTTGCTAGAGGCATTCCTGGGCGCCCTGTATGTGGACAAAGGTCTTTTATTTTGCGAGCAGTTCTGTCACGTCTGCTTGTTTCCGCGATTGCAGTTGTTCATTATGAATCAAGACTGGAATGATCCGAAATCTAAACTGCAGCAATGCTGTCTTACTTTGCGCACCATGGATGGCGGTGAGCCCGACATTCCCTACTACAAAGTAATCGAAGCGAGTGGACCCACGAATACGCGTGTCTACAAGGTGGCAGTTTATTTCCGATCCAAGCGTTTGGCCACCGCCAGCGGTTCTTCTATCCAGCAAGCCGAAATGAATGCCGCCAAACAGGCGCTGTGTGAGTCGCGTGAGCTTTTCCCTCAATTGGATCACCAGAAACGGGTGATTGCCAAAAGCATTAAACGGCAGACGGGCAGCGAAATGGATGCAGATGCGGATAAGCCACAAACAAGCCAAAATAATAAGAAGCCAAAGTATGCAGCGCCGTTTGAGGATGAATCTCATTTGCCCAAACAATACCGTATGCATGAGGACATATCGAGTGATGAGTTACCCGAGGATGATGACTTGGACAACGAGAGGACTAAAAGTCCTAACGGTACGTGAGATAATCTTTTTATTTCAGCATGACTGAACTTTTATATCTTTGTAACTTTGTATGTTAATCTTCAACTTTCAGATAAAATTCAACCAAGGAACCGCAATTCTAGTAGCAGCGACAGTGATGATGAGAGTGTGTCCAAGCGGCCAAAATGCTTTAAAAAGGATTCCATATCAACATCGTCGTCATTGTCAACGTCATCAGATGAGGACTAAAAGCATTTAGCACTTGGGATTGTGAATACAAAAATTAAGAAAAAGATCCTTAAATATTGGTTTGTTCAATTTTATTGAACATTATTGCATTTCCAAAATATAAAGAATCCAAATTTTGTTCTCCAAAAAAAAAAAAACAATGGACAATTGAATAAAATATGATGAAATTAGATTTTGGCATAATTTCTAATTTAAACAAACACCTGGCTGGTGTATGTACCCATGGTAATAAAAATGCAATACAAATTGAACAATGTGAAATGCTCTTCGTTGCTTATACGTTCGCATTTGTGAGGTTATTTGAAAAGCGACAGTCTCTGGCTCAGCGTGCGTCCCGCAACATTTAGTAAACTTGATATTTGGTTCATGTCGGGAAGGGTTCTGATGTTACCTCGAGCGGCGACGGAAGGGGGCGAACTGAGAATTCGCTGGGCCACCCGTTGGATGTCCGAAGCAGAGACTTTTTCTACAATTGCATAATGTATATAGTACTTATATATGGAGTGTAACGTGTTTTCTTACCAATCTCGTTGATGAAATGTTCTGGTCGCTTGCGTTTGCCAGTGACTAGCACTTGCCGGCCAACATCTTCGAATACAACCGGTCGCGATTCCAAATTCATAAGCAACATCGATTGCAACTGTATTTTCGAGCGCATTAATTCCTCCCGTCCAGGCTCACTGGCCATATTGACTAGCTCACGCGTTAGCACCTCCACCATGTCCCGCACATGCTGCGGCGGCGCACTTCCATGTATGCAAAACAGACCAGTGTCTGCATAGGCGTGATTATAAGCTGTTGCGCTGTACATCCAGTGATAGCGATTCAGTACTTTCGTATAAAGACGAGAGTACATTCCTTTGCCTGGTCCGCCGGCCGAAAAGGAACCACCGCCACCCATCATAATGTTTAGTACGCATAATGGCACGAAGTCCGAATCTTGATGGGAGCAGCCTTCAAAGCCGAGAACTACGTGTGCCAACTCTGGGAGGCCAGCTGCAGCATAGATTGGAATTTCGCATTCTTCCTAAAAATGAATTAATAATTTAATGCAAAACATGAAAGACGTTAGTATAATTGCTTTGGATGTTTTAGTTTTGTTGTTCTTACTTTAACGCAACCACCTGTATACTGCGCCACCGACGTGTCCACAAGCTTAGGTCCACCTTCTTGCATTGTTTCATTATCCCAAATCGCTGGATCCTCCACAAAATACTTTCTCACATAATGTACCAATTCATCATGATCAACCTAAAACAAAATTAATTATAATCGATTTTGTTTATATCTCGAAAAAATAGATGTCACTTACACCAACGCCAGCGATGACCATGCGCTCAGGCGTGTGATGATATTTCAAATAATTTAGAAGTACATTACGATCGATGTCGTCCAAATTTTGCTGCGGGCAGAGCTTCGGCAAACCCAGTGTGTTATCGCTGTAGGCAGCCGCGTGTATCATGTCCATGAGTATTGGTTCCTGCTCTGGCCGCATTCCCAACGTTTCCAGTTCAAAACTTACTGCCCGCCTGGCCAAATTCACCTCCTGCTCACTAAGCGTGGGTCGCAACGTAACATCCGCTAATAGACGTGTTACCGAGTCAATGGCACGACTGTCAATACTGGCAGCATATATTAACGTATCACGTGAACTTTGACAATCACAAATACCACCGTTCTTCTCCAACTCTTTTAGTATGGCATCTTTGTTTGGAAAGTTCACCGTGGACTGGACAAAGCAAAAGGCAACTATATTTAAGATTGTTTTGACACATATCAAAACCAACTCACATTAAACGCGAGCTTCTCGAGGAAATGCGAAACGCCACTAGGATAGGCTACCTCATAGCGTGGTCCTGAGTCCAGCACTAGACCTACGGTGCAGAACTGACCATAGCGCGGCTCAGACGCAATACGCAGGCCATTAATGAGAGTGGTAACTTTGGTAGCAGCGCTCTCAGCCATAGGCTTTGCATATATCGCTTCTGGTAAGTCAGGCAATGGCTCTGTCAGAGGCGGCAGTTGAGTAACCACTTCTTTCGAGGGCGTGTTTACTCGGTGTGGGCCATCGGTGTTACGTACGCGACCGGTGATTTTTCCAATACCGGTGCCGCTGCCAATCTCATCGCCACCAACCGTCGTCACCTTTGTGGCGAAGCGGCGTGGGAATCTGCGAAGAGGCAATCGGAAAATACATGAAATACCGGGTATAACATGCGAAATACACACGAGACTTACGTGCGCCAAGAGTGCTTCAGAAGGTTAATGCTCCGCACATTCATATTTGCAGGTAGTTTTTGTCAGGCCTTGAACGTTGAGAGCGATATTTACAATTTGTAAAGTTAAATTTGTGGGATGCGTTTAATGAATTTGTTTTAGAAACATATTTTTTGGCTGTTATAACGAAAATTTGCAACCAAAACGAAAAAAAGTGTAGTGCTCTTCCGCTTCTGACTTAAATGTCAAATACACTGACATTTACAGTGCTGTATTTCGACTAACTCTAGTAAGTGATACCAGACCTTATCAAATGTTTTGACCCGTTAAAGGCGAAAGAAAAACACGGGTTTTATCATTTGTTGCAGTTAATACGCTTAATATATATTTTCATAATTTTCCCTTATGTTGACATCTAATCAAAGTTGAATCGCCGTTTTCCATCAAAACGGTAACCATAGGCAGCTGCATTTTTAGTATCGACCAGCGCAGGATTGCGATGCTTGAAGAAACTTCCATGTGAATGTGCTGGACGGGAGGCGCTGTTGGGGACACCATCAACTTCTCGCGGATAGAAAGCCTCGAACATCCCAGCGGGCGGCAGACAACATTCTGCTATTTTGCTATCACTCGGATCGTAGCCCTCGACATTAGTAAGCTTTATTTGCGCGATAAAAAAAAGCGCAATTAATTTTAATAATATCGCAATGGTAAACATTTTAGAAAATCGTCTTTATTGCGCGCACAATGGTGCACTTTTACTTTTCGTTGTTGAACAAAACTAGTTTTCAGTCGCTACGCAACTTAAGCTGGCCACCGTTCACCGTGACTTACGTCTAAAATTTAACTGATTCGCTATTGTGACTCAATTGCGGCAGCGATGCTGTATATAAAAGCAAGCTAAGCTTATTATACTACAAACAAATGTAGAAAATTTGTATTATTATTTTTAAATTTTTTGCGCCAACTTTTCCAAAAGTAGTTTTTCAACACTTAGCGAACCATATCAAAATATGGCAGCCTTTTACTTGTATGATATGTTAATTTGTGTAGTATTTATACATATGCACATAAGTAGGAATGAATACTCCGTCGCCGCCAGTACGGATAGATTAACAAGTCGTAATTCGACTTATTCACTAGCCTGTTAAAAAATTGCAGAACGAGATAAGCCACTGGCTTTAATCAAATCAGGATGTCGTATAGCCGTATGACCGATTCGGAGAACAAATTGGAGAGTAAGTTTATGTGATTCTCTGAATGTGTCTATATGTTTTCGCTGAATTTTATAGACGTAATGTGTATATACATACATAAGTGCATTTGTACATACATATGTACATGTATTCACATTTGATAAATAGCACATCCCTGCGAATAAATTTACATGCCCACAATTCAGTTTGCAGAAAATAAAATCCCTTGTTTAGCGGTGATTTTTGTTGTAGATGTTATAATGCTCCCGATTAAAAAATTCTAGGCCACCGCTGGTTTAAACGGAAGAAAGCAAACGTATAAAGAAAATGTATAAATGATGCTGTGCAAAATGATGCTGTGCAAGATTCAAAAACTCTCATACACAGTCGGCATACAGGCATATGTTCATGCGTATTTATTGCGCACCTACATTAAAGGCAAACTTTCAGCTTTCTACCTCCTACCGTTTTGGGCTGTGCGTTGATCGCCAATCATTTAGTCAGTCAGGACAAAATCTTCTATACATACATACATATATACAGATTTAAAAAAGCCAGACTATTTTTCTTTCAGTGCCAATCCACAAGCAAGAGAATTTTCCTCAAATACCTCCGGTAGAACAATCCTCCACATCATTAGGATCACAGATGGGTCCACCAATGTTATATGTTAACCAAATAGTGATACACAACTCACCCGGCATTTTGATTGCACAGCCAGATGATGAACTGAAAAATATAATCTTCAATGATCAAACTATACGCAAGGGGTTCATACGTAAGGTTTATCTCATTGTTATGGTGAGTACTGGAAAATGTTAAAGAAGAGTTTCTATATTAGTATATTTATATTTATAGACGCAGCTTATCTTCACGTGTGGCATCATTGCACTCTTTGTATATCATAAGCCCACCAAATTGTTTGTCCAACAAAATCCAGTAGTCTTGGTTGTTGCGATCGTCATTAATATTATCGTAATGCTGTCTATGGCGTGCTGCGAAACAGCTCGTCGCACCTTCCCCGTTAACTTTGTCTGCCTCGGATTCTTCACAGTAACCATGTCACTCTTACTGGGTGCTATATCCAGCCAAATGGATGCCGATGTGGTGCTGCTAGCTGTCGGTATTACGGCACTGCTTGTCGCCGCATTATCGGTATATGCGATCCAAACTAAATATGACTTTACCACTTGGGGCGGTGTCCTAGTATGCTGCTTGATGTGCCTAATTATATTTGGAATGATGGCTATATTTTGGCTAGATACGTTCCTGTATACAGTCCATTCCTGCGTTGGAGCACTGCTTGCGAGTTTCTTGCTCATCTACGACACCCAATTGATTATGGGTGGTAATCATAGGTATCAATTTAGTCCAGAGGAATATATATTCGCCGCGTTGACTTTGTATGTCGATGTTGTGCGAATTTTTTTGTATGTCCTGCGCTTACTTAGAAGGTAAGAACACAATTGAATTAAAAGTATATACACGTACATATGTATAGTATATACAATACTGCTGCAGCCATTAAAATATAAAACAAAAGGTAATTTTGCTTTCAACAGGGGTATTTAAGAATTGTATGTATTGCTAAGAGTAAACATTCGAATATTTACTATATATGTATAACTGTTTTTTTGATCTATGCACAAAATTTGTATTCGGATTATTGTCGTTCCAAATTTGTTAGAACAAAAATAAAATGTAAGAATATCTCATATTATACAGACTCGAAATAATTTTATATGGCTTTTTTATACTTATGTCGTTTTATTCTACAATAAATATACTTAATATGAAGTGTACAGATCTTATGGGTTTTTATTTGGTCATAAGAGTTGTCCTTTAAATGTAGCTAATGTGTAATATAATCTGCAAATAAATATTTTAATTCCTCATATGTATATGTTGGTAGATATTACCTGCAAACTTTCTTAATCGGGGAAGATAAATATAACTGACAGTTACGTCCAAATGGGGCGTCCAATAAGAAAAAATGTAAACATAATTGTTAAGGTATTCCTTTATTAAGCTTATGTTTTTGGCTCTTTTTTCCAGCAATTTTCTTCTATAAAATATAATCACAAAATGTATGCAATTGTTTGTTTTTTCTTTCGTATATTTACAAAAATTTCAAATAAATAATCAGCATTTTTGTTCGACAACTACATAAAGTAAATTGGTTTTTAATTCAAAAACAAATTTGTCGATAAGTAATTGGTTTCAAAACAAAAATGAACATCTTTATCAATGCGCAAAAAATGTTCCAGTTCCTTACATAAAAATATGCAATTTTCTTTCATTCTTTTTCCTTATTTTACATAGTTAAGTGCTCCGATAGTTATAAGCTATCGTAAAGGTGTCGCATTAATACAATTCTACTATAGTTTAACCAAATTATTGTAAACACAATAAACTTAGTTTCTGGTGAACATTATTAATGAGTAGTTAGTTAGATATTTATGTATTTACGTGCTTGTGTGTTTAAGCTAGGGACTATTTCGCCATTTTAAATAAGCGATAAATCTTGCTTTGTTCCAGCGGCTCCTGGCTATGTATTATATAGCGACATATACAAAATATTATATCTAATTATTCATGTATGTAGTATTATGCCGCATTACTCCTCCGTAAATGGATGATCAGAAATTTCGCTGCTGTTGCGTCGTCGACTTTCAAGTATTTTAGTCGCTTGCTCCAGGGACTCCTTGTAAAACATGTTTGCAGATGGAGCATCACTTGGTAGCGAATATTTGGAGTCGTCCAAATGCCACGTAAGGCCCAGTACAATATTGAAAGCGGAGGCATCGTAACCATGGCAACCGGAATAGCGATAGAGCGGTTTCTTATTAAATTTACAGCCATTCGATTGAGCACCTGTGTAATGAAAATATACACATATTATTATAAATTTATCTATGGCCGTTATCAACACACAGTTATCATTTAATTGCCATAGAAACACCATTTTATCTGTCTGATGAATTATAGTGATCCCATTTCCTAATCAAAGCTAAACAAAGGGTCTCAATTGATGGAAGCTATTGCTGTTGAAAATGCGAAGAGAGGTTAATCATAAAGCATTATATATTCAAATTAAATACATATGTATGTATATTCCCAATCGAAATATCCTTTTAACTTTTTCAGAAGATATTGCTGTGCAATGCGACCTCTTAGTTGAGACGAATGGCCAATGTGTTCATGAGTTTGATATAAAGGATTTGTCGCTTAGGCGAGGACTTGTGCGCCGATGTTATGGAATTTTAATTGTAAGTACGAACCTTCAGCAATCAGTTTAACAAAATTAAAGCAAAATCAAATGTTCGGCCATATATTAACTTAAAAGCCCCTGCAGATTCACTTTGAGATTGCTTTGTCTTCATCGCAGCTCGACTATTTCCACTACACAATAAATGCCGTTTCCATTTTTTTTTTTACTTAATTGACATTTTTTTGTGCTATTGGAGAAGGATATCCTTGAACTAGTTTAATGCTCTTTATGTTTTGATTGTGATCGACTTAAAATTATTAACTTGTACCTGCCATCTCACAATACATATATATTTATATTTTGTTGTCAAATACAACCATAAAACTCCGCTGGAGAGTCCACATGTATCCTCATAACTTATAAACAAATTTTGAAGTTATAAGATTCATTGAATTTGAACAAATTTTTAGAATTGAAAGATTTTTTTATACCCCGATTGGAGATGTAGTTAACGGATCGGAAGAAACTAAAATGAGGTTTAGTTGATATGCACAAAACCACAATTAGTTTATGGTAGTACTTATAATCTAGTTTTGCTACCTAACGGGTTGAATTTGTTCAATTAGTCTCCTTTCACAGCATTTCGCTATCTGGGACTATGGCCGTACCACAAAGTGACTTTTAAGTATTGACGATACATTTTCGATGTGAATTTGATTTTTAAAAAAATTAGACGCTTTTAGTTTAATGAAAATTCAGATTGTTTGAATTTATTATTTAATGTTTAAATAATCTGAAATAAATATTCTATTGCCATTTTCTTAAGATTCAAATTGGATGCGTCATACCCAGCGTGGAATTTCTGCTGGCATTCCAATTTCCCCATGAAAAAATTGTGGAAGCTGGAACCTTGATGTTTAACCTAGCTGCCTACACGATTCTTTATATATTCAGGGACTGGCGTCGAGTTGCACCTTATAACTATCTCGTACTGCTGCTTACAACGGCTACGAGTGTTTTATTCAGAAGCGTTCATATCGTGCAACTATCAAGAAGCCGTTGGGTAAGCTCCGCAAAATATATTTAAGTAGGCAGACCTTACATATATGTACATATGCATATGCATTGTTTTTATTACAGGTGTACATCTATCCACTAGCTTTAATTCTGGAACTATTTGTGCTTGCATTATACACCAAACAGCAGCGATTAAAGATCACCAATAGTTGTGGGTTGGCCCTGATTAGTGGCACATTCGGACTTCTATTGCTGGGGGCATATGTTTTCAATATGTTCTTTGAGCTGCTCACAGGCATAGGTTGCGTTTTTGAGGCTTGGTATATAATCCACGATACGCATCTTATGCTGACCAGCCATCATGGCTATAATATTCAGGCACACGAGTATATTTTTGCCGCTTGTAATATTCATGCTGATCTAGCGAAATTTGTTTGGCTTTTGTTTAAGGAAACTATTTTGAGTAATTTAATTAGTATCTCAAGATGTTGTCGACACAGTTGCACGGCAGAACTTTGCTAAATAACTTTTTATACAAGTACAAGTATATTTGTAATTTTGGACAATTTGTAGAAGTCTTTAAAAAAAAGCTTTCATTTTTCGGACAACTATAGTAACTCCTCTTCCTTTTTTATGACACTTTTAAGAATTGTATTCGAAATAAGCCAACAACTTTAGAATAATTAAGCACCCCTTCCTTCCCATTCAATTGTTTTAAAGGCTCCTCCAAATTTGTAATTCCATTTATTTTAAATATTTTGATATACAAACTCTAAAGTTAGTTAACTACAAATCCGGTTGCTTGAAATGAGTTTTATGAATATATTACGCAAGACATAAGTTAATTGCTTCACTTGATTTGCACTTAAATTAGTGAAGCCCATAAAAAACTGGAATAAAAATTGAGATTTTGTATGAAGATTGAAATTTTAAAGCATTGGCATTATACAACAATAAATATATAATGAATGTGTACTAGATTTTAAATTCGGTTTTGGGGAACTCAGTTCGTTCTTCGTTCTGCAAAAGATAGTATCAAAGTTATGTTCAATCAACATGCAACTCTGGTCATACATACATATATCAAACGATTGGTAATGTGGTAATCACACACTTAACGATAACACATAATCTGGTAGACCCCATTAACTAAAGTATGTTTAGTAATTTGTGGAAGCACGTTGTGCTTGGTAGATTACGCTGAACAATTCAGGGCTATGGACACTACGACCGATTCAAGCATAGTGAAAGGTATATTAGGTATAAGTGTAAGCAAAATTGTGATATCTAAAAATACTTCAAAGTTTCGCAGGATACCAGCATACAATGTGATCTCTTGAGTGACGGGCAGCGTCCCTATTTGCCAGGATTTGACATAACTAATGCCTCAACTAGACGCAAACTTGTGCGTCGATGCTATGCGCTACTGATTGTGAGTAATCTAATTTTTAACGAGTGAAAGCACAGTTTTATAAATCAAACAAGTGGAAAAGCGCAAGTCGGGTGCCCCGACTTTGAAATACTCTGTACCTATGTCTATGCGTGGCTGTGTGTGAGCCTGTAGCAGTATAAAGAGCAGAGATGAAATTTTTTAAAACATTTTAAGAGTTATAGAAAATCAAAATAGAGGAAAATTCTGAAATACACATTTTCTGCGTATTCACATACTTGTATGCCATCTTAGATGTCTCTAGCTCTTATAGTCTCCGAGCTATAGGTGATTATGCGAACTGCGCAAACTCGTAATTAGTACACATCTACATACGGCATCTGTCTACAAAATTTGATGTCTCTATGTCTTATAGTTTCTGAGATCCAGGTGTTCATACAGACGGGCAGTATTACAATTCCATGTAAAAATTAATTTAAATATTTTTGTTGAAATAAAAATTAAGTTATTTATTCAATTAAATTATGCCAAATTATACATGCTTAGCATCACTACAGACATCGAGAATATATATACTTTTTTGGTCTGCCCCGCGTCCTTCTGTGTGTTACATACACTTGCACTAAACTAATATACCCTTGTGGATTTTGGGTACAACGCAATTGACCAAAACACGCGAAAAAGAAATACGTGTGAAAATATCGAATAGACAGCATTTTTGTGTGTGTAGCTATAACTATAGAAAACCATATATTTGAGACGTAATTTTGTTGCTTGATTTTTGTTTTTAGGTTCAAATAGCATGCGCTTTGCCTGGTGTGGCACTATTGCTTTTATATCCGTTGCCCGATATTAAAGGAATCGAAGCTATAGTCACAACAATAAATTTATCAATTTACGCAGCACTCTATGTGTTCAGAGAGTGGCGGCGAACTGCTCCTTTTAACTACCTAGTACTGCTTCTAACAACAATTACTAGTGTGTTTTTTAGAAGCCTCCATCTAATGCATCTTCCTGGAAGACAGTGGGTGAGTACCGGAATTCCCCCAAATCGATAGTATACATTCCAGTTGTGAAACATTCTATTTTAGGTGATCATATATCCATTGGCATTAATTGTAGAGTTGCTGGCACTTATAGCTTATAGCAAATTAGAGCGATTCAGGTTCACCAACAGACATGGCGCGGCCTTAATTGGCGGCATTTTTGGAATACTCTTGATGTTTAGCTATTTCGCAAACTATTTGCTTGAATTGCTTACGATCGGAGGATGCGTGTTTGAGGCTTGGTACATTATCTACGACACTCATCTTATGCTCACCGGTCGCCACAAGTACAATGTTAAGGCGGATGAATATGTATTTGCCGCGTGCAATATTCATGTTGACGTGGCTAAACTGGCTTGGGATTTGTTTAGGGACACTTTTTTAGCTGCTTTCACGGGGGTTTCAACGCTATGCTTCAAAAACTGCAAGGATGAGTTTTGTTAAACTCAAACCGAAGTTGCCTTTGAGAAATGAATTATTGTACAACAGTTTTGATTCATGATTAAATATCTTTAAGGTACATTTTGTAATTTGAGTTTCGCGACTCAAATTAAACACATTTTGGCCCAACAAATCAAAATTAACCATTCAGTGTATTTTCTCATGACATCTAAACTGCACAATGGATCCACCAAACTTCATGGACTACAACAGAGTTGCGGAAAAATGGATCTAGCAGGGGGTAGGCATCAAATTTCTAAGCAGCCACCGATGTCACATTCATATCTGTGCTTAGACCAGGCTCTCTCATGCTCGGACCACGAAGATATTCACGTACAAACGGATTGCAAAAAAACCGAAGCACAACCCTCGATAGCTTCCTCCCCTAGCCAAAAGTTGCTGATAGTAGATCGTTTGGCAGATGCCTATTTCAAAGAATGCCAGCTAAGAGAGCAGACACTCTATTCGAGCATTATAAAGAAAAATAACATTTTCGAAAAGGAAATGGGTATGAGGAGAAGAAGTGTTACGCCTAGATGGCCGAGCATATTGGAAGATATCAATGAAATAAATGAGAACCTGAACGCCATTCAAGGACCGAGGGAAAGTAAAAATTTTAGTAGAAAGAAAGTTGGATCGAAGAGACGACTTAAAATCGTAAATAAGAACAATAAAGCAGCAAAGCGTCATATTAACCCAAAACAGCCCGTTGAATATTCTTCGGCAATGCCTTGACCAAGCCAATTATGCCACTTTTTGTAATACCTATGGAGGTGTCTAGTTGAATTGGAAAACGTTAGCCACGAAAAAAATAAAAGTGAACAATTAAACTAGGAATTTATTTTCTTAACCATAGTTTTGTGGGATTCTGATTCTTCTGGCGTAATTAACGTACCATGCTTGGTCTCTTTCGCAACATAATTATAAGCTAATAAAGATATCGAAGCTCTTATCTTAAGATAAAAAAAAAAGTCTGCCCTTATAAACCATCTCACCGGTACTTGCACACTGCAGCTGCTCATCTACTTATCTTAATTACAATTTCAACAGGTTAGTTTTTTGTATTTGGTCTTATTCTTCTAATAATCTGATTACCTTTGAATTTCAGAATCGATTTCAGCTCTTAATTATAAATTCGTTAGCGCAAAAGAGGAGTGCATAAGAGGAATGCACAATTTCTATTGGTAATAGAGTCCCTTTTGATTATTAGTGCCATATTAAGTAATAGTAGTCGTAGGGTGCAGATGTCAATGTCAACAGATGCGTTTCGATGAAGGCCATTAGTGATTGCTGGGCCACACTATCGAATGTGTTTGTAGCTCTTGTTGCCAGTTGGTCAACAGGAGCGCAATATGAGTTTGATTGATTGATATTGAACGATGGCCCCGACAACCCCTTAACCCCACAACCCGACAACCCAACAATGGCAGGCTTTTAGTGCACATAATAGAGAAAGTGGATACCTTTCCCTTTGTTACATACGAGTACGTTGCGCTCTAATGAACTTAGCTATACTTGTATATTAGCATATGTGCATATATCAAGTTGCAATCGAATTAAAACCTAACAGCCATATTACACTAATGGAAAACCTTGAACTAACGTAACGCTTCTAATTACATTTTATTGCATTACATTTGCATTATACATATGCACAAATACGAATATGTATTTGTATATATATGTATGTATGATTGAACTCACCAATTGGATCGATGCATTCAAGCGTTAGCGAGCATTTCAGCCATGGCAACATAATCTTCTCAGTTACGAAGAGACTATCCGCAAAGAAGACAACATCGAGATCAACCATGCGTAAGAATATGAAATCGTCTGCATCCGATTCGAAATAGTCGAACATTTTGGGATGTGTCCGAGAGGAGACAGCCATAGGTGTATTCCAGCCCAGTACGCCGGATACCATGACACGACTCTGCAGATTCTGCACTTCATGCTGGCTGCCTCGTATCCGCATATAATTCTCTGCAAACAGTATGGACTTGGCACGCATAAGCGCATCCTTTATCACAATCGGGCGATATGCATGTGTGCGTTGGTCGGTCACGAATGAAGGAAACTCGGACAGATCATAGGTAACGACAGCGCAACGGCTGCTGTTGCAATAGGCGCTCAGGGCGCGCAATTGCTCCTCAGAGACGCCCAAATCATAGATGAGCAAATATTCATTGGGTAGCTTTGCGGCAATGTTCTGGGCAAGCAATATGACCGAGGGCGCCTGCCCTTCCAACACGTAGGTCACTATCGTAAAGTTGGCCTTTGTGCCATTATAGGGCGTGGTAATGCGCTTGCGCTGACTCTTTTGCTGCAGATCCGATTCTGGAGCAGCGCTTCCTTTGGAATCATGCGCTCCATGTAATTGACGCAACTCGATCAGCTCCAGCTCGGCTTTAATCGCCGATCCGGGCGTCTCTGTTAACTGCTGCTTCTGTGATGTTTGCTTATCTCGCTGGTGCTGCTGCTGCAGCTGCTGCTTTGGAGCAGGCTCCACATGATATTTGTGATATTGTTCTGTGTCCTTTGTGCTCAGCGGCGATGTGAAACCAAGCAAAGCCAAATATTTCGGCTCCAGCTCCAGCTTTTTGCGCTCCAGGCCAACTCGTAAATTTTCCTGTGAGTATAAGATGCAGAGAAAAAGATGTGAGAAAAATGCATTTAAATACAATCATTAACTATAGTAGTTGACCTAATTAAATTAATTTTAGGGCGTATTATATTTCTGCAAGTGGTACTTATTTGGTCCTTTCGAAAAGTTAAATGTGTACTTTTATTTATAAAAGTATGCGTGTGGCTTAAAGAAAAATATTGAAATGCGGAAAGTGTTTTGTTCTCACAATAAAACATATTTATTGAGTTATTTGAAACGCCCCTTTATAGTTCTACTACTTATATACCCGAGCACCTTTTGCAGCAGTTTACGATTCACGACTCTATTCTTGATGCATTTAGGGAGATAGTATAAGGCAATGTTCTTGTGCGAATGGCATTGGAGTTCAAATATAACTTTATTCTTAGTTATATATATTTAAAATTTAATTTGGCGCACGTATGTGCACTTCTGTAGGCCAGACATCTTGCAGTTCCGCTCTAGATATTGAATTTAAGAATATTGCACTATGTTCACGTAACTAATGTCTTCATAACATGTTGATTATCTAGGCCAGTCCCATTATTATTGGAATAGCCTTAGGTAAACACAATTTAGACCCCAATGAATTAAAATGTTTTGTTTTTGTCGTTAGTTCTTTGTGCAAAATGTTTTTGAAACACTTTTCAGGCTTGAAATGGAGTCATAATTCATTATTAATTATAATATTTAAGACTTGTACCCAGATAGGGAGGAAGCAACAAGACGATTTTATAATAATGTTTTGATTTTATAATACAGTGAAAACTCCCATAACGGGCACCTCTTTTATCCGGACACTCCCTTCGGCGGCCACTTTTTGTAAAACATTCGATCGGGGTATAAAGTATTTAAGTATCCCCTTAAGCGGACACTCCCCTTGGCCAGACAAAAATTGGCCGACCGTGAGTATCCGGTGAAGAGTTTTTCGTATTCAATATACATAATCGTGCTTCTGGAATTCCAATTGGCCTCTAGGGATCGCAAGCCTAGGCCTTTGAAGAAAAACCCTATGCTGGGAAATCTATCTAGAACTATACTTTATACATAGAAGTAAATTTTCAAACTACCGCAAACAATTTTGTCAACTTTAAGTAAAAATTATCTTAACTCTGATCCAAGTTTCAATTACACGCTATACTTGTATAATTATATTGACAGTCTTATTCGTTGGCACACACACACAAATAATTAATATGTGCAACAAAAACACCTTTTAAATATACTACGGGAAAGTACATCTATCCATTTGGCTGTTCGGACCAACTCTGTAAAAGCTCGTAGCCTTTAAATCATTTGTGCCAAGTGGTGCGAATGTGTGAATTAAGTTTCAAATTGTTGCCACAAATATTTTATTACTCCTACATAAATTGACTTCGAGAACGTTTCTCAAATACGAGTTGGCAGCAATAAAGGAAAAGCCACACATAACATGCCCGGAATGGCTTCTTTATGACAATGAGAAATATGAAGCTACCTGCAGCACAATCGATATTGAGTTTTCACACCTAGTACATAGGTAAATCGGGTAGTGTGGTAAGACACGCGCGAGTATTGTCTAGGATCCAAATTGCCAGCAACAGAGCAACAAAGCAAACTAGCTTAACACGTTACCAACCAAACAACCAACAAATTGTGTACGCAACCATGTATAATGAAAGATAATGCCGCCAGACACAAACATACGACAAAAATTAAATTTGTCTAGTCATTAGAGAGAAAAGTACGTAATTATTAGCTGACAGTACAGTAAATGACAATGGCAATGCCACGTGCAAGAAATCTGACTATTAACGTTCCCATGAGAATTAAATACACAAGGAACATTTTTGTCGAATCTGAAACCCTGTGGTGTTAGCTACTCACTCAAACTTTCGTCCAAGTATGCAAATACACACTCGTATTTATGTCTACAAATACATACAACACTACAAATATATCCTTTTGCTTACACTACTACGCTGAAAGCGTGTTTTTGTCACATTTTCCTTAATGTATCTCTCTGGGCCCCCACATAAGTAGACAACCAAAAACATCATATAATGAAATGAAATTAAAGCACGAGCTACCGGCAAAGCACACTAAAATGAATGCTTTTTGGTGGGCGTGTCCTACATTCCTGTAAGAATTCGTGTATGTATGTGTGTGTGTTTTTTTTGTAGTTGTGAGTGTGTGAGTGGGCTAATGTAGAATGCCAAAATACAAAGGATATGCGGAGAAAGGTGGCACCTGATATAGCACGCCAAGTTATGCATATAATAGCGAACGCCGCAAATCGCATGACAGGTGCTTCACTTCAATATACTACTTATATGGACACCCATTGCTATTGTTCAATTCTCGGGATACCTTGGCACAATGCACCTGTGTGCCAAGGACGAATTTGAGTACAGGACCATTAAGATTTTATAGCATTTTGTTAACATTGATTTTGTATTCTCTTAACCGCAGTAAAAGGGTATATTTAAATCATTTTGTTTTCTTGACTATACTACTTCATATGTCCGCCTGTCTGTCTGTATGAGCCCAAGGTAATCGGAGAAAACATGGACTAGAGTTACCGAACTTGCTATACAAGTATTGAGTGTACTTTTCTGTAACGATTTGTAATATCTTTTCCTATTTATATTGTAACGCAGCCTACAGTTGCTCGAGTGTTTGCAACCATTCAGTGTTGGTCCGCCTAAAAAAGTTAGTAACGAAGCAAATGAATCCAAATTTGTATGTTTATTCTCTAATCTATAATCATGTAAAACTTAACGTAGAAATATTAAAAACAAAAACAACTAGTATGTACTCTATTTGCCTCATTTTGGAACTTTCGCACAACGCTTATCAGAATCCAAGGAAACTTTTCTTTTTTCTACTTTGTCATTGTTATTTACGCTTTTAATTATATTTGGCATACTTTCGACTAAATTAAAATGCCATAATGCCACTCTTGCTGGATTCGCTCCCACGAATCCTGCTAGTTTGCTGAAAACGATTCGTGGCTCTTGCTTTTTTCTAAATATTTCCTAAACATTTCCGGCCTTTCAACATGTGTCTAAATTAATATTTACTGAAAATTCAGTATAACACACAAACTCCATAGAATCACACACACAGAAAATAAAAAAAATAAAAAACCCACACAAATACCATAAAACAAAATAAATAATATTCACGAAACGTACAAAAACAGTTTAAACATACCTAAGAAACAATACCCACTCCTCTTGTTCAGATCCGTATGAAGCATTTTTAGATCCTTAAGCCACCAAAAGAACACATAGACTCGCATAACAGAAATGGATAGCTCTGCCAATGAGTATTTGCCGTTGTTTCAGGATGTCTTTGAAATACTGAACAAGGAGGGCGATGGCAGTATTACTACCAAAGAACTGGGCACTGTAATACGGGCTCTTGGTCGGCAACCTTCGGATGCCGAGTTGCAGGACATGATAAATGAAGTGGACGCCGATGGCAATGGTTCGATAGAGTTTCCGGAGTTCTGCAAATTGCTTGAGACTAAATTAACGGATCTCGACAAAGAGGATGAATTACGCGAAGCGTTCCGCATCTACGATAAGGATAACAATGGCTACATTGGACTCTCAGAAATTCGCACAGTGATGACGGCATTGGGTGAGAAGATGTCCGATGAGGAAATTGATGATCTGATTCGCGAAGCGGATCTTGATCAGGATGGCCGAATCAGTTTCGATGAGTTCGTTAATATGATGACTTCGGGAGAAAGTTACATCTAAGATGTGAACGCATTTGCACATAACAATAAAACACATTAGGAATAAATCAATCAAAAAAAAAAAAATTCGACTTGTGGGAGGAATTTTATTTTGTTATTGTGTATTCTTAAATCGATAGAATAGCTTTACATAATGGTCAAGCATACGTAGAGCAAAAAAGGTGATACTATTTTGAATAGGGTGGTCATTAATGGGAGGAGTAAAGAATAAATGACCATAATGACTATATTGCAGTTAAAATAACATCAAAAGTCATTAAAAAACTTGCAATTTGCATTTCTATGAAAGCCATTGCCATGTTTCCCACGATCCTAAAAACTTTATTAAATCCAATTTAATACAAAAGCAAAACGAACCGTACATAAGGAGAGATATTTAAATTGTTTAATTGCAAAAAAAGTAGCCTTAAAAAACTTCTTAAATTAGTCAAAAATAGAAAAAGAGAACAATCTGAGGTGTTTTTTCTTAATTGCGCGTTTTTACTTTTATGTCTATTCTATTAAGCCCATTATTTAGTGCCACCAGCTTACCACAAACTATTATTCAAGGATAAAACTACTTGTAAATGTTGAAAACTGGAAATAGTCTGAAAAAAGCTCAAATGACAGCTATTTGAAGACACGTGATTCGTTAGCGAAATAGCAAAAAGTGCAATTGAAAATCCAATTTGATTGACAATTTGATTGATAAAGTAGGTGCTTGAAGTAGGTGGAATAAAACAAATGATTTTCTTTTGGATTACATGAATGAAAACAAAGCAATCAGTCAGAGATGGCCTTGTAATTTCTGCCCATTTGATGTTGGCTACAAATTGTTAACATTTAGAAACTCAAACATAAAGGAACTCCACTTTTATTTTCTCCACAAACTCAAAAAAAATTAAAACACAAAATGGAATGGACCGAAGACCAAGTGCAGGAATTTAGAGACGCTTTCTCAGTTTTCGATCGGGGTGGTACTGGGACTATTACCTCGACTGAGTTGGGCTCCGTAATGCGCAACCTTGGACAAAATCCAACTGAAGCGGAGCTTTACGATTTGATTGATGAAATAGACGTTGATGGGAATGGAGAAATTGATTTTATGGAATTTATTCAGGCCATGGCAAATCGCATGCAGGCATTGAACTCCGAAGAGGAGCTGAAGGAGGCTTTCAAGGTGTTTGATCGAGATGACGATGGATACATCTCACAAACGGAATTGCGATCCGTTATGATGAATTTAGGCGAACGTTTCTCCGATGAGGAATTTGATGAAATGATGAAGGAAATCGATTTGGATAACGACGGTAAAATAAGCTTTACGGAATTTGTTAACGCCATGAAATATTAAAACAAGCGAACTTCAATTCGAGCTGTTCGAAGAAGAGTTTGGCATTTCTATTTTGTTCGGAATGCCAGAATGCCTTTCTTGGCGAATCTTTATTTGGAATGTCAAAGAATAAAAAAATAAAAATAAAATTCAAGTTAAGATCAATACGTCTTTTTTTTTTATATTTAAGAAAATTACCCTTTTGTTGGAATTCACGAATGTATCTGATTTATACATAAACGGAACCTGAAATGATACGACGGCGGGAAATTATGAACTGCTTTGGCACTTGAAGCGAATTCCCCGACGCACAACATTGGTGGGTTAAATTTTACAGTAGTGTCTGAAAGTCTGCAATGGGTTTTCGCCCCTGGCCTCCACAGCGGCGCCTGCTTTTCTCCCAGTGGCGCGTGACTCTAATGCTTGCATGTGCTTAATGACGGCCTGTGATTGCCTTCACACACAAACCCCGGCAAAAACAGTAGCTCCCTTTGCGCAATTGCAAAAAGGAAAATTTAAATATGTTGATGTCTACTACGACTACGACGACACTGTATGCGCTTCACTCGCTATGTCCTTATAGAACATCAGAATGAGAATACAAGTCGATCTAGATACATGTATGTTTGTGTGTCCGACAACGATCGCATCTCTCAATCATAAAAAACACAAGCTTAGGAGTATCTAGAAATTAGTTTTGGTTTTTTAGCTCTTATATTTGCCAAGATCCTTGCGTTTATACAAACAGACAGTTGGTCATGGCTATTATGAATAAATATACTTTGGGTCTGACACCTCTTCTTCTCTGTATTACATATGTAAATTCGCACTAGACTAGTATACCGTTATAACATTTTTGTACAGGGTATAAAACATGACTATCGCTATCTAAAATCGTATCATTGAACGTACAAATATACGATAATCTGCTATGACTATTGCAGTAAAATATTTGATTTGAATATTGCATCAAAGACCTTAAAGATCGAAAATTCCAGCTGATTTAATGCATTGCGAAAAATCGTTGCAGCAGGCCTGTGCAGGCAGCTCAACCTTCATTGGACGACTCGTACTTTGACATGCTTTTGTTTTTTTAATAAGGCGATAGACCCAGTAACAACAGCAATATGGCGACAGAGTATGGCATGCCAAAGCTCATGGCGACAGTTATTAAATAGTGTGGTGCTGGGCTTTAAAGGTCACATGACAAAAACAACAACGCGACCAGCAACGACAACAACAAATAGGCAAGGAAATATGCCAGCATGTAAAAAAAGGCAGTCAGTTCTCAGTTTCTTTTCTTTCTATATTATAAGTATACCCTCGACCAGGCAGAAATCTAATTGGATATATCCTGCATTTTAAATGTACCTATTGTGAAGAACGTTTTGCCTGCCGCACAATTTTCTAGTCACATCGACAGCAGCGGTAATGAAAATAATACTGAATCATTTCTTACATGCCTAGTCATATCAATGTACAATGCATAACATTGTCTGAAGAGGGCCACCTTTGACATCCACCATTCAAAAAAATGATAATAATAAATGAATTCAAGAGCGCAGTCATTCGTGTCACTTGAGTACTACAAGTAGAGATAGATGAAGTTCTCAAACTTTTCTGCTACAGTTTTATTTCCCTAAATAATGATAGGAGCTAACTAACCAACTATGTATGTGAAGCATTAAGTGAGATATATAATAAACAAACTTTCATTTAACAAATTGTAGCAGCTCGTTAAAATGTGCTCACCATTCTAGCTTTCCTAATCAACAATGTGATTCATTCATTAGGCATTCTGTTATACAGATAGCAGGGGGCTTTACAACTAATTTATTTGTTAAGTCCGAGGGTCAAATGCCAATGGGTTCTTACAATGTTAATTGAATTATTCTCATTCACTAATGTATACATTACATACTCAGGGGGATCTGAATACAAAGATTGGTTATTCTAGCTTATATACTTTTAAAATCCTTGCCTTCCTATAGACAGAGGGAAGGACAGGGTATATAAATATTTATAATCAAATTTTTCTTTGATTTGGGGTATAGGGCATTAAAATAGGTTTGGTTAATAACTGACGTGCAACTTCAATAAAAAATAATTATAAATACGTTTGTACAAAAACCACTTTATATATAGAATGAAAAGTACAATTAAATTTTGTTGAGCATATGTGTTATTCTCAGTGAGTAATAAATAACTTATTTCCACAAAAGTGGTTGCTTTCAGGCAGGCATACTATTCGACAGCTAGTGGTTGAAATTAAAATGCATGCCTGCATGTAAATGCCTATTATATGGGTGGTACTTATCATACATATATACATACATATATATATAGATAAATATATAGATATGTATATGCCGACATGCCTTCCGCGGCATTTAGAAGCACTTGACAAGTTCTCAACATACATATGAACGCACAAACACTTGACACATTTGGAATGGCGCTGAGACGCAGATGTGACGTCGATTCAGATGAGGATGTACAGACATATATACATATATATATTTATGTGCTTACGTAGATAAGTACATACACATATGTAGATGCTGCTGCTTCACCTGTACATGGTTGTAAATAATAATCTTCATGTGCGCCACAAGTGCTGACAAATGTTCGAAACAATTTACAAGTGTTTAATTGTTAGAATGTCTTTTCGATCTGATACAATCTGTATACTCGTACAAATATATATGTATATAATACTGGCGCATATTAGTGCACATATTGTATTGTATTGTCTACGGACATAACTGTAATACGAGTCACATATATGTATGTACGAGTACATTTTGCAAACCAGTTTCGACTTAGATTGCAATGTACATATGTACATACATATATGTATGTATCTGTATACTCATTGCTTGGGAGGTTAATGAAATACATACAATAAGTGTGTTGTTTTCACCGATGTGGTTTTCACCTTTGTCGTGTTTTTGTTGTTTTCATTATTGTAGAGCACGTGAGAACGAGTTTATTGCGAAATGACAGCTACGAATCAGTCATGCAAAAATATTTGTTTTGCGCATTTAATTTGGAAATTCACTCAATCACAACGCTTTAAGGTATTCCCTAATTTCGGACACAAGAAGCTTATTCTACATGGGCACGTGATACCCTGAGTAGGAAAAGCAAGAATTATATATGACAAGTTTGGTGTCAGCTGTTTTTATGGTTGAAAAGTTAATGGTGTGCTGAGCAATTATTGGGTACAGGGTATACAAATCAAGAAATACAAGAATTTTGGTATAACTTTTATGATGGAATGATTTTCCCATGCATAATCCCATGAATTACAAACAACTGAATTTGCGGAATAATTGCTTTTTGCTGAAAAGGGAACGATCCCCACAGGCATTACGAGCTCAGAGCACAATCAAAATTTGGTTAATGCCATAGTTTGAAGATAATCTAATAAGAGATATTTAATTTATAATTTGCATTTTACTATATTAATACGCGTAAGTTAGATTCATATGAGATTTTTATTGCGTTTACTTTAGCAAATGCGTAATGAGCATTCACAAGGTCTAGGAAATACCCCCTAAACATGTTAACTTCAAAGTACGGGCAAGACTTCAAAGTCCGCAGCTCGTTAAAAAGGTTCACATTCAATTAAATTGCTGAAAATACCCGAAATGGAGTGGAGAGCTTGATTCCATAAAACCGCCTAAGTTTGCACTATAAAATCCTGTGCTGACAGCAAATTCAATGTTAAAATATTGTAAACACGAAATTCAATATGCACGTTCAACAACAACAACAACAAATATTTACAAACATACGAATATGGCCACCGAACTGTCTGGGCGATTACGTACAGGCGGTACAAATATTTACGTGCCAGAGCATAATTAAAGCAAACAGCAAAATTTGTGTGTGCAGTGCGCTTCAGATGTTGCAGATTTTCTTCTCTGTTCTGGGTTGAGCTCTGAATCCAATAGCAATACAGCCCGCATAAATGTGTGTTTAAGGGAAAATATTTTAAGCATATTAAATACTCTTTTGCGCTGACCACACCTAATGGCTGGCGAGTAATAAAACCGTAACGGGAACTATTTTGAATGCGTAGGATAAAGGAAAATATGATGGCAATGAATAGGCAAAGGCAAGCCTACAAATCCATAAACTTATATGTATTTGTATATGTAGTATGGACACTATACTATATGTGTTTGTAAGAGATGGGCCAGACAGTCTGGCATGCCATTTTGGACAAGTCACAACTTTGCCTTGCTTGAGAACAACAACGTGCTTCAATTTGCTAAAAGCATAAAAAGAGCGGAAAATAGGCACAAATGGTTCCATTAGAAACCATGGCCAGAAACTTTGCGTTCTTGTTGGTGTTGTTGCTGCTGCTGCTGTGTTACTGCTCTGCATGTGGGTGGGTGTGGGCGTGGCCGGCCTGCAGAGTTCAAGGGCATATGGGTCTGTTGCTGTCAATGGAAAAAAAATTGGCAAGTGTGGAAGAATTTTGGTGACAGCTAAATGGATCATTACTTTAAGGTATTGGTTGTTGACTTTAGACCACAATTTTAATATCAATTTTGAACTTTCTTTTTATGGCATTTCTTTCGACTTGTTGCTCTTTGAAAAAAAGATTTGTCTAATACATAAATATTAAATTCAATTTGCCAACGTTCGCCAGCAGTTATCAATTACTCCGCGAATTTTGATGCCCCCCAGTAGAAACGTAATTAAAGGCGATTGGGTACCAAGTTATCATTTCCCCATATGACGATTTGTACATAGACCCGTGCACAACGTAGTATATTAATATCTTGTTATATTACCACATAATATATCGACATCGGTTGAAATAAGTACACCACGCCTTCGGCACAGCTTTAAAATGGTATACAACATTTGTTGATAAGGAACTGTTAAGTAGATATGTCATAGGCATTGGAGGCGCTTTACGATACAGCTTAGTAAACGTAGGAGTCGGTTAGGTATGGCTGTGTGTGTGTTGTATCTTGTGCCATCTAACTTAAGCAGGGCAGATTACGCATATATTTGGACGTGTTGAAGAGATAAGGCCATATAAATGCCTGCAAATGCCTATGTACTTACGAGTATGATAAAATTGTTGAAACCTTACCTGAAACTCTTTCAGCTGTTGATGTGTCTGCACCACAATATTTTTGAAAGAGTCGTTTGGCTCACCGGCTGGTCCAAATATAATGAATATGATCGTAGCGAGTATCACACCGATTAATATTAGTATTAAGTGTTTCGTTCGCATGGCCGCTATAATTGATTTCGTATTGGTTTTATAGCCAATTTTGCGGGCAAAAATGCGCTTTAAAGTCAGTGAGGCCTCCAGAATTGCAGCTGTTCTGTTTTCTCAGGATATCAATAAAAAATCAACTGGTTTCTTTAATTAAGTTTGAAAGTAGACGGCAGCTTTAGTTTTAAGTACATATGCATACGCTTTCTATACTCTAGCAGCTCTGCGTTTGTTTGCATAACCCAAATTTAATTCTTGAGTTTTGTTTAGGCTTTATGTTTATTTAATTTTCTCTTTGTTGCCATTGTGCCTCACTCAGCCAGGTGCTTTTTATGGTTAACACAGTGCTATCAACATCGTTCTGTTTGATAAAATATAAATAAATAAAATTTTTGAAATGATTTTCTTAATGAAAACTAATTTATTTAACTATTCCGGAGTTGGTTAAATAATAACATAGTCAACTTATGAAATAATAAAGAAAATGTTGAATACATTTGTTTTTAATTAAAGTGTTTCAATAAATAACCAAGAATATTGGTTAAATATTAAATGTATTATTTATTTATAATAAATAAAATTGAATAATATGTTATTGCAATAAGCTCGTTCTCCCTCACAGTTGCAAACACCGGAAAATTCTGCTTTGATGATTTATTCACACACATACGGGTATATCACCTTATGTACACATACATATACATTTGTATGTAAGCATGTACAGTATACAAATGATGAGAATTTATGGCGCACAGCCAAAACTATTGTGCATTTTGCAAGGTGAGGGTGAGCGAATGTTAATGAAGAGCAGAGAAACACAGTCAGTTTTATGCAAATAACTGTTTTTCTGTTCAACTTACAATTTAAGTGGCAGTGGCGCCTAACATAAAGCGCCGACTAAATCCAGTACGATGTTTATGCGGCGCACGGCGTCTTACTCTTTGTTGTTGGTTTTGAGGGTGTAGATATAGCTGGCAATGCATTTGCCGGTGCTGCTCCATCAAATGGGAATGGGCGCTAGCGGTTTGATAAGCACGTTTTACACACAGGCAATTACGAACTCACAGACGCTTCTAACGTACATATACAAATAAAGAGAAACTCGTCACGTTTCGCTTTTACATAATTTTATGTTTTTGCACTTTTACTTTCGTTTTAAGCAAGGGTTTGGTTTTAATCATACCGACTACATTATTCAGCAGCAAAATCCGATACTGGAGCTGAAAGTCGAACAATAGACCAATAATCGGCAGTTCAACTGTGTAAAGTGCAGTCAGCGCAGAAGGCAATGTGCAAGGCTTTGTTATCAAGATTTGCAGCTTTTAGGTACACAGTATTGGCTATTAAAAAGTATCGCACAGAAGAAGCAAATATCTGGCTTTGTTTACAATAGACGCGAGACTTATGCGGTAGTTTATATTTTTGTTACACATGAGTCGGGTTGAAGTGGGTGGTAGCGGCACTTGAATAAACTTTTTTATTGCATCTTGCGTTACACGGAACCAAAACCGACGCGCCGAACAGCTGTACAAGACTGTAGCAACAACATTTATAGAACCGAAGAAGTGCTGCCATAAACTTTTTACAGTGCTACCAATATTTCAAAACCTAAGAGAAGTGCTGCCAATAACAATAAAGCTGAAGCAACGTTATTTAAATAAGTTATTCTTTTGATTATTTTTATTTTACAGTATGATTCAATTTTCAAATAGTAGTAATATTATATTTCAGCAAGTGATGTAGATTTTTATTAGATTACTCTAAAGACCATTGAAATAAGTATAGATGGGTTTTTTTTTGTTGAAAAATATAACATTGAAAGGAAACGCTGAATCGTAAACATAAAGCATACTCAAGTATACTCAATTACAAAATTGATTCGATGTAAGATAGATTCTGTAAGACAGATTCTTTTGCTTTTAAGCAATAAGTAATTTTAGTCGAAGCTCTTTATTTATTCATGATAATTGTGTTATTTTATGCCTTTTTTGCCTTTTTTCGAGCACAAAAACTTTTGCTATTGATAGAATGATGTCATCATTAACTTGTATTAAATTAGTTAGGCTTAAATATATAAATAAATTGCAGTGTTTAAGCCAGTCCTCAGTTAAAAGCCACCCAGCAAAATAAAATGTTATGCACAACTCTTCACAAATGTGTGTACTATTTGATTTGTTATAACTATACTATCAGAGTAGGTTTAATCAAATTTCTAATTAGCAATCAATTTGAAAATAAATAAATTGGAAGCTTATTTAAAATGTAATTAACTGACGCAAAATAATTATGTATATTTATATGTCCGCCCTTTTAAATGGTCGTTCCGTCAGTTTTTAAAATATCCAATACCCACGGTTTCAAAAGAACACAGCGTTGCCAGAAGGCGACACTGGCAGCTCCGCCTATTTAAGTAACAGCTGATGACTTCTATAACATTTAGGCGATTTTTGCAAAAATAAATTAGCGAGCAACGACATTCAATTGTTTAAAATGGAGGAAAATGAAACAAAGGCGGAATGCGCCAGTGACACGAATGGTAAGATAATAAATCAAACTTTTAATGCAATGTGTAATAACGCTTTCGTAGGAGAAAACAACATGACATGTCCAGAAGAATTGGCGCATCTACAGGCCGATATGAGAAAAATGCAAAATGAGTTCAACACACAACGTGCCAAGATGAAGGAGCTGTATATGCAGAAGGATAACGATTATAAGCAATGCTTGACTGAGCGCAAGCAGCTGCAACAGGAACTGGACGAGCTCAAGACACAATTGTATCTGAAAACTGAAAATGAAATTCAGCTTAAGGATTTGAAGGCACAAGAGGAGATATCATCACTGCAGCAATTGGTGCAGGACACAATTGAAGAATCGGCAATGTATAAGATGGAGGTGGAGCGTCTTAAAGAGCACATTGCCCGAGTTTGGTCGGAAAATAAGGAGCTGCGCGAGATGCGCCAGCATCAACAGGTGCAGGCACAACCCGAGTCTTCAGGTGGCTTGGCTCCGCAGGTTATAAATCAGGTAAAAAAAACACTAGGATCCGTGCGGAAGCTAGGCAGCGATTCTTTAAATAGCAGCTTTCAACAAGACAGTCTCGATGAGAATTTGCGCGGTGGCAGCAGGGGAAATGGAAAGTCTTACGTGAGTATCAATAGTAAGTGGTTTATGAACACGCACTTAATTGTTATTAACTCTTACTAACAGGCTCCTGAGGACGCTGAAATGTTGCATTCAATCGTTGAGCAATTGCAGGAGGAAATGAAAGCATTGAAAGAAAAGTTACGCGACGCCGACGAAAAGTTGCAAGTTAAAACAGCAATATTATCGCCGATGGAGGAGGCAGCCTTACCGATATCGAATGATACGGATGCCATTCATAAGTCTACATCAACAGATTTGCCCGACAACCTCTGTGAATCGTGCTCTAAGGTGGAAAAGAAATTTGAGGAGTTAACATCGCAGCGAATGGAGCAGCGAAAACAAATAGATTCATTACAGAAGCAACTAGACGAGTCGCGGGTAACTCTAGACAAGGAAGCAGTGCTCCGCAAAGACTTGGAGGATCAGTGGCAAGAGAAGCGGGAGGCTCACAAAAGTGAAGTACAAAATCTACGTCAACAAGTTAAAACCAATGAGCAACAACTGCTAGATATGCAACAAAAGTTCCTCGAGACCAAGGACGAGGTTATGAGACAGCTTCAACGGGTGTCCGATGATCGCGAACGTGTCAATAAGCAACTGGAAACGCTTCAAGCTGACAATGATTTTCTGTCTGGGCGTTATCTGGCTACATCAGAAGAGATTGAGAGTCAGTACATTAATCTGCCAAATACTGTGGTTGAGCTACAGGAATTAATACTGCAACAACAGAGCGAGCTTATACAGGCTCGAGTAAGTAGCGAATATGAGAAACAGAAGTGTGTCAGTTCGCTGGATGAAATCAAGATCCTTCGTGCTCAGCTCGGCGAGAGCAATAACGAACATCGCGCATACAAACGCAAGGTGCAATTAGATACTAAATCGTTACAGTAAGTACATAAGTCATGTATTAAATTTATAATCTTATAGTCTTTTTAACCATGTGTAGAGATCGAGTGACGGAATACCTGCTTACAGTGCAAACGCTGGAGACTACCCGCTTGCAATTAGAACGCAAAGAGGCTGAACTTAACAAACAACTATCTGAGTGCCGGGTGGAAATAATTGAGCTGCAGGAGGCGAATGTGAGTAAATGCGCTTTCTTTATTCTCTTAATTAAATAACTTACCGACCGACCTGCAGGAAAAGCTGACAAAAACGAATACGGACTACAAGTCAAAAATAAAAACACTGCAAGAAGAGTTGTCCACTATGGAAACAGTGCAGAAAGATTTTGTCAAATTGTCTCAAACTCTTCAGGTGAGAATTTACTTTTTTCTTAATAAAACGTATAAAACTATTTATATGTATCTTATTGGATAACATAAATTTATTGCAGATGTCTTTGGAAGAGCTGCGTCATGCCGACACGGAGGTACGCTGGCAAGACGATGACGATGTTAATATCTGTCCCACTTGTAATGCAAATTTTACGGTGACGGTGCGGAAAATCCATTGTCGCCACTGTGGGCATATTTACTGCGACAAATGCCTAACGAAAACAGTGCCATCGGGTCCCCGAAAACGCAACGCCAGAGTCTGTGATATCTGTCACACATTGCTCACACCCAACACAGCTCCATACTTCAGTCAAGAACCGCTGCAGTCCAACTAAGTTTCGCAACGAATTTTTGTTGCGGTTTTAAAATATTTATTACACATATATATTTCTAGGTAATTATGTCATTGATTTTTTAAATTCAGCAATGTATTCAGCTGGCTTGACTCATATTCGGTTTATAAACATATTTAATTTAACTGTGCGTGTCGCCATATACGAGTATTTGATGTATTCCATGTATGCTTATTATAGGCGATGAGTTTTCTATGTTAACTTTTTGTAGGTAAGGCTCCAAGATTGAATTTAATGCAAACGAAGGAAAAATTAAATTAAAGAACACTATATATAGAAAAAAATGACTAATTTCCTTTTTTATTATTTAAACCAGGTTCGCCTGAAAATTGAAAAAGGGGGAAAGCTATTATGCAATTAAAAGAAAAACAACACAAACAGGTTCATGCAACAAATAATAATGTTCCTTTTATTATTGAATTTAGTTCTTTGAAATTTCAACAATTCGCTCAAATTATGTAATCAATAAAAAACGAACAACTCTTGCAATTTGGCAAATAAAGCAAACAAATTGAAAACTTGGATGTTTTACATCATTTACAATTATGCCTTCATAAGGTTGCGAGGATATTTTCTAAGTATATACATAAAATAACAATTTGGGCATGCAAACTCATCACAGCTACATATTTGCCCCAGTAAATTCTAAACAATTCATTTCAACTAATTAGATTAACATTAACTTTAGATTGAACTCTAATACTGCAGACTCCGCATTCAAGTAAACAAAAAGTTTGGATTTAAGACACACACGCACATATAGTACATAGAAGAGGGAGGGAATCACATATCTTTTTAAATTGGTGGTATGAGCAAGCAAAATTGGCACATTTTGTTTTCTGAAATGGGAAGAAATTATAATTGTAATCAAGTAATCAGTTATATATATGCTTTATATCAAATTTGTATTAATGTGCTCTCTCCAACTCACCTCACCATATATACCGGCCGGCCACAGTAGCTATAAGGGCCACTGTTGCTACGCCCAGAAGACTAATGAGGCTTTTGCTTGGTGCTAAAATAATGAAATTAAAATAATGTTTAATTTATGTAAATATAAAACGAAGGGTTTCCTAAATATTCTCATTTCGCAATACTGACTACTATCTGAATACAATCAATATGATAAGCATTATAATATTGCAAAAACTATATACATATGTAGATAAAGAGAAAACTTAAAGTGTTTAAAGTTTGTATGCGGCATGCAATTGGTTATTAAATATCCATATTTGTCATATTATTATGAGTTTAAATTTATGTACATACATATAGGAATATGGAACATAAAATTAACGCAAGACGAACCAACTAAAAACTAAAAGACAAATGAAAGAGACACTTACGTAGCAGACTTGGTGTAGAACGAACGCTGCAGAAATGATACTCATTTCGAGCTTTTAGACAGGATAGATGCGAAACCGAGGACAATGCGAACACTTGTGATAGATCAGAAAAATGTGGACAGAGACAGTAGGGGTGCGTGTTTATAAGCGTGGACCGGACGACCTGGACGCCGTACAAATGGATGATTCGTTTGTAGTTGGGAGTCCGTTTTCTTGATTTGCGTGTTGCTGATTCAGATTGTTCATATTTTGGTTGGCGATGGTTCTTATTGTTGTTTTCGTCGTTGTCGATCGTTCAAGGCAGATGAAGAAATATAGAGGCTTAAATCGAGCTTAATAACTAGCGCGTTTGATGCTTCTGGTACACTAAATGTCGCTTAGGTCTAATGTATCTTCAATTAAGGTGACACTTCAAATTCAACGTTTGATGGAAACAAAGAGTCATACACATAAGTATAGTATTTAAATTTGCGAGTCAATGCAGATGGTGCTGGATGGGTACGTAGACACTTTGCGTTTGATGACAGAGTAGATAGACGGATGATTGTGACGTTTGGATTCGTTATTACGCATTTAACATATAGGATAAATTGATTCTATTGCGCGTTTTCACCTGCTCCGTCTGTATTGCCGCTTATGGAAAGCTCTCGTCCATATTTTGCCAACCATTCAATAATCACGCCATTGGTCCAGCCAAATCCCTTCTGCACGTCATACTCGCCGCCCCCACCATGACCACCGAATTTCTCTGCATCGTACTGAATTTGAATCGAATTAGAATTTGAAACTATTATATAGAATAAATATTACTCACTTTCTCAAACATACTGCGTGTCTCGCGATAAGCCTCAAAGTTCGACTTGACCCAACGTTGGCCCCAGCGGGCAGATAGGTTCTTTGCCTCGGGTGTGCCCAGATTATCCAGACCCTCGACCAATATGTACTGCATGGGTGGCCACACATTTGGATAGTCCCATTGCTCACCGGTTTGAATGAGAGTGTTTGGCACACCTCCTGGGAATGTGTCCAGATCGTTCTCCTCAATGTATTTCAATACTGCAGTTGAAATTTTCTGCGAATCGGAGATATTGTAGGCCTTAACCCATAATGGGGCCAAGTTGGTTGGCACAAAGCTGTTGCGCGGCTTATTATTGATTAGATCGTAATCCAACCATGCGCCCACATCCTCATTCCATAAGACTGCTTGAATGGCCTAGAAATATAGGTATTTTAAAAAATGATAATGCGTTCTTATTTAAGAGGCCCATAGGCACACGTACCTCTAATATTTTGTGCGCTTTTGCTTCGTACTCCTGAACTTTATCTACGTTATCGGCCTTCGAGTGGAACTCGGCAATCATTTTTGCATTCCAATATAATATTGCATTCAGCTCCACCGGCACAATAGAGCGTGTTTTCGTCTGAGTAAGATTTCCAGTGTTGGTGCCATCACTATTGATAAACCAACGTGAACTGAAGTCCATTCCGGACTCGGCTGCCGACTTAAGTTCACTGTAGTAGGCTTCTTTGGCTTCCTCGGTATCAAATATCTTTGCTGACTCCACGTCTTCGCGGTACGATTCTGGACGAGGACCTGTCGATGAATCGCGGTAGGCTACCAAATTGTGACCCTTGGCTTGTACTGTGTGATTGTTAATGAAATATTCAAACTCATGCTCTAGCACATCCAGCGCATTAATAGCGAACAGGTCGTCTTTGGTGAAATCCACATAGGCCTTGACCATGGCGGTCAGAAGAGGAGGCTGCGAGCGTCCCCAGTAGTAGACCCGACCACCATTTGGTATGAAGCCAATGCGCTGAACAATTGACAGAAAGTTTTCTATCATTCCACGCGCGGTGTCCTGCATTTCAGAGAGCAGCAATCCACGGATGATCCAGTACGAGTCCCAATAGTAAAACTCAATGAAGCGGCCGCCAGGAATTATCACGGGGTTGGGTACGGGAATAATGGAGTAGTAGTCCGGATTTTTGCTCACATCCTCTTTCATTTTGCGTCCCAAGTCTTTCCATATGGCATTTAAGTCAGCACCCCATTGCTTCAGGTCGGGGTCATGGACGTTATCGAGAAAACTGGGATTTTCCTTCCAATCAGTTGGGGTCCAGACTTCCAATTCCGTGCCCTTCTCATCAAAGTGATCCTGAAATAAAGAAAGTGCAATAAGTGTAAGTTATTCCTGTCCAAAAATATTAATTATTCCAGGACTCACATTGACAAACTGCAATACGTCATCATCGGATGGTGTGTTGTTTTTCGATTCCATAAACGCATCAAATTCCTCAATAGTCTTCTCTGGTGCTTTTTTCAATTTCATGTCAACAAAAGTCTTTGAATCACGAAATATGTTTGCCATTTGCACGGTATGGAGAAGAGGTCCATAGCAGTAGATTTGGCTAGAACGATAAGAATGCGCACATTTTTATAAAATTGTTACTGTTTGCACAAAGCAAAGAACAAATACAGCTGCTTTTATTCTTCAAGTTTAAGTCATTTATGTTACTGCTCTGTCCAAAAGAGCGCATACGGCTATTCCTATTAGTTGGTTGAAAATTCTAGAGTGAAGTTTGAATTTTTATTCACTGACAATCAATGGCTTTAATGATTTGGGATAATAAAATATCATACTTCTATAAGTATATAGTATTGAGTAGTCAAACAGGTCGGCCGAAGCCCTATTATTATTGAATATATCGGCGACTGTTTTGACCCTTAAACTTAAACTAAAATCAAATACATATTTAAACATTTATTAGTCCCATCATTGGTAGTGAATAGGCAATAAACATTATTCATTATGCATTTCTTGTGTCGTATTTATGGATAACAAATCAACTATTAAATGCAATCTAGACTACATAAACGCTATTGAAGCACCTGTTAATTGTTTTAACTGCCAAGGGAACTGAATGTATTAAATATTTTGCACGGCTAACCAAGTCACGTTTATGGTTTTGATCAGAGCCAAGATTGGGTTCCAGCTGTCAGACTTTTCATTTTTATTTAAATTTCGAATCAATGCAAACTCTACTTGCCTCCCAATATGTACTCAGACGAAAATGATTTACATTTTAACTCGTATCTCCCATTGTATCGCATTTCGTTCAGCAGAGGTGGCGGTTTAAAACTCGTCCGTATTATTGCATTCAATCGGATTTAATTAGTTAAATTAAGCAAATTTAACGCATTTGTATATATATTATTGTTACTGTGGGCATGCATGTACTTGATACAGGTTTTATATCAGAGATTTGGCTGGAGCTTATTCCCCTTTGATTTATAAAAATCAACGACAATTTCATATTTACTAGTTTTGTTTTAGCTCTAAATAATGTACTCTTATAAACTTATATTTGTTTTTGTGTTTTCAGTTTCATGACTTAAATTGGGAAACCTTAAATTTAGCATAAAAGTAAACCAATCCCAAGTCATAATTAAATATAACGTAATTTCTAGTGCTGACTAGTTTCTGTTCGGTACCAGCTTAATCAAAAAGTCACCTTTTAAATTTTCCATTATGATTAGTGTTTTCTTTGTCACTTTACTTTAAAATTAGATCTGAATAAAACTGGCTGTACTTATTCATCGCCCAGGCGAAAATATATATAATTCTTTATACAAAGCAATATTTTTAGGCAAAAAATCACAACCATTGAATAAATGAAATAAAATAATATACAATTAAAATTATACACTACATTTTACATTGACTAAAATATAGTTTTGCGTGACAGAAAACTTCTTTACGATGTATTTTTTAAAACCTAATTGTAAAATAACGCAATTTTGTTTGCATGTTAAAATAAAAAACAAGCAATTTGATTTTCTTCCAGGACTGATATGTTATTTATATTCATAAATGTACCAAAAATTTTATAACGGTGCTTCAGCTCTCCTTTACTGGCAAAGTTTAGACGTTCATAAATTATTAATCATTAAAAAAACATACAGTTTAGTAAAATTTATGCAGGAGCATTATTTTAAGAGATTCGTAATCCTTTTTAGATTTTAAGTCGGCGAAAATGAAAAAGCAGTTAACCATTTCTTTCCCAATATTTGGGTTAAAATTCTTTCTCCTAGTAATAACCACTGCGAATGAATATTTTGAGTTTAGTTTAGATTAGTTAATCAAAACTACACCTCTTGACCTTCAGTAGCTTACGCGGTTGAGCCGATAAGAAATTAAATTAAAAGTGCATTTTTATATTCACTGGATTTTAAAAGATGTATGTGTAAACAACTCCCTATATCAGAAAACAAATGAACAAACAATTGTAATATGTAAATTAAGTTCATTTCACCTAAACAACTTTTTGTTGGAAATCACATCCATTGGGTTAAACAAAAATATATCGCAGCTCTTAAATTGCAAACAACCATCGTCCATGAATTATACATGAGTGCAATTTAATTCACATTTTTATTTTATTCTGCCAATGGGAAACTTACCAGGCGGGAAAGTCGTAGGCTGTAACATCCTTCTCTATCGTGTTCTCGCTATCAGCAGCATATTCGATCACATTTCTCGCCTGCGAGACAATCGCGAAACAACTCAAAAGGAGCAGCAGGGGGGTGTACGATTTGTTCATTTTGACGAGGAACTATGTTTTCTGTCTGCCCAAGAACAGTTTGTGGCGCACTTAATTTTAAATACGCGATAAGTTGATAAGTACAAAATAAATCACACTTAGCTAGTTCGTTGGAACGTTAAAATATTGCACAATAAAATTGTTTAAACTGTAATCTTTTCGCTTGTAACGCCTTTATTATTATTTTATTTTTGTTTTTTTGTTTTTCATGCACTCGCTGCGATATTTCTGCGTAAAAATCCCTCCGAACTTATAGAATTGAAGCGGATTTGCGCCAACGACACAACCAGCGCCTGTCAGCGCAAGAATACTTCTATGTATCTGTATCGGGCGTTTCGATTTTTATAAAACAAATCGCCCAACGAAATCGTCGACGACGTCGAGCATTAAGCGAACGATCGGCTCACGAAGCTAACCAGCGCTCGAGCGCCAACCCCAAGCCCAACGCCCCATAGAGGAGGAAGTGGGCGGCATTGATACGCATTTGAAGTGCACGGGCTTGGAGGCCCGCCGCCACACGTTTTGTTTGCAGCCGGGGTTTACTTTTAAAGCGGGGCTTGAACATTTTATAAAATAGCAGTTGCGGTTGAAACGAGCTACGGTATTTTAGTCAGACCGTTCATAGTCATAGGTACTTGTATGTACAAGTATGTATGTAGTCTTTAGTCGTATCGGTATCAGAGTCTCGTGAACTGAACACCATCGTCGCTGGCATTTTAATCGCTCGTGCTTTTCGTATACATTTATTTAGTACAACGAATGCTTTGGCTATAATATGGTAATTAGTCTGGAATCAACAAGCGTTTCGAGCTAAGCCGGTTGGATTTCCAAACTCTGCGGCCCTTTTATTCACAGTAATACATTGCTTTCGATTTGCAATGCATTAGCAGAAGGGGCGTATATACTAAAGCTGATAATTTTTTTTATTACAGTCAGACCTGCCGGGAATTGACAAGAGAAGGTACATTCTACAATTATACACCCTTCACATAGTTTGTTTTTAAAGAGACCCCCACATCCTTTGCAAACAACAATATGTGTGTACTTATTTACAAATAAGTATACAGCTCTATAAATTAATTTGAAACCGAAAAAGCCTAAGTACCTACAAATATGCATATTGAAAAATCAGTTACTGTTAGGCATTACCGTAGTGTATATATTATGTTTGTGTTCCCCAACACAACTGATAAAAACACCCACTGTAATCCGAACAATGTAAATTTGAATTTAAAAGTATTTCATACCATATCATTGTTCCATTTAAAGCTTACACCAACTAGAAATAATGTATTTCACTTGAAAAGATAGCTAATTATCATGATAAGCTTATTTATTCGAATGCATTACCTGACAATTCGAAAAACTGAACCAGCACAATAATTTCAAAGGATAATGGTCAATAATGTTTGAAGGGAAAAGAGAAATAAAATAATGTTAATTATTAAGTAAATTTCAGACTTTCTCTTTCCCAGAGTATGTTTTACATTATGAGTAGAAAAGCTGGCTACTACTTGTATTTAGAATTTTTTGACAAATGGGAGGATAACCTTATTTATAGTAATATTCGATTAGTTCGCCTTGGAGGTCTTTTACCATCCATGTAGTATCTGTATACCAAGCTGGGAGAGATGGAGCCAAGCATCATAGTACTAAAGAGATAATTTCTTTTTAAATGGGGTCAATTAACTATGATGCAAATCTATATTTATACCACGTGTTTACAGTTAGTTCGCAATCAAAAATTGCGTCGTAAAAACGTCGCTTGAATTTTATAACGAGTCTTAATTGAACGGATTTGTCAAATAAGGATTTAGCTGTGAAGCCAAAATGAAAAGTATGGTCTCATACATGCATATGTATATCATCAATTCATCTCACAAATTGTACACTCTTTTGTACATATAAATCTGTCCATTTTGCGTCGTTTAAAAAAAAAAACAACAACAACAACAAATTTGCATGCGAATTTTCGACACTAGTATTGGTGGTGGTGGTGGTTGTGGCGGTGGTTGTGGTGGTGGTTGTGGCGGTGGTTGTGGTGGCGACTGTGACCAATGACCGAGAAATTGAAAATGAACAGCGCTGGTCGCACGCCAAGCGATTTAATTTAATACAATGCCAACATAGTATCTTATACATATAGTGTACGAGTATTATATTTAGTCAATCAAGTAAGTGATGAATTGTTTAGAATTTATTTTCGTCGCAGCGTTTTATAACGTATGTGCATCTGTTCCGAGTATTTGTATCTATTGTTATGGCAGAAGTTGATGTTTGAATTGACAAAAAAAAAAGCGGAATAGTTGTGCAATTTAATTGCACTTGTGGGATCCGAAAGACGTCGTCATTGTCTCGTAAACGTGGGGGCAGTCTAACGTATCTGGTGACGACAACAGCAGCTGAATCAATAATTCAATTAGAGTTGAATGCATTCATAGCTTGTTAACATTTTACACATACGAAGTCGTGATTGCATTAGTTGAGATAATGTTGTGATATTTGCAGCTGATGCTAAAAGACTAGTGCAATCAAGTTTCATAAATGCCAGCGTTCTGCCAAGAACCAATGATTCATAGCGAAATACATATATACTGTACTATACTTGTATGTATCAGTATGTGTAGTCCATTAGGCCTAGGATAGGTCATACACCTACAATTATAATTCATTCAGTACACACCCCGGTCCATAAATTGTTTTGAAAAGTGAAACTATTGATACAAAGATTTACATAAGAAACCATACAATGCCTAAGGTTAAATTTTTTGTTTTGATTCGTATTTATTGTTGTTGAGCAAATATTTAATGGGGTGTAATGGACTTTTCAATCATTAATTCGCCTGCCAGTGTTTTGTGATGACAAATAGAAGACAGTTGGTACGTGACAGACATTTTGAAAAGTTTTCATTTTTTGGCTTCCGATTCCGCCTTAAAGCAAATGTATAGTACACAACTAATTCCGGTTCAAGTTCTGGATTAATCATCATGAATGCACACAGACGCCGATCCCTATCTTTATTCGTGACAACGACAATTGCTACCAACAAGCTAAATATGCAAATTTATGGGTCTGAGGACTGCGCATTGCATAATGGAGTGTTTGATCGCAGAAACTGTCTAGTTCTACTTGTATTCTATTATACTTACACATGTATTTATGTGCAATAGCAATAACAATAGTCATTTATTAGCCCATTAGTTAACAGCCACAAGCACGATCAGCTCATAATTACAGTAAGTATTTACTATTGAAAGTGTTTATTGACTCCCGTAACGTCATCGCGATCCGTGCTAAATGATTTTATGGGATCGATTTCCGTGACGTCTGTGTACGCATCGTTGAGAGTGGTGATTTAATTAGCTTGACTATAAACTCTTATTCCTACGTCAGCCTGGAGGCCTATTGCCCAAATGGGTTGTGTTTTTTTGGCATACCTTATTACTTTAAATCGACCTTCGTTTTATTTCTGCACTTTTCTTTTGATCAAAGAACTTGTTTGAGCCATAATTGCAGCCCATGTTAAGCTACCAAACCGTTATTTATGTAGGTACACGTTTCAAGGTAATTTTTTGTATAACGCACAGTGTATTGCATATTTAATCATAGTTGCCAAATAAATAGCAGACCTGGTCCGGTAGACGCCTAATTTAAATATCGACGAACTAGAAGCAAGAAACGGAAATAAAAGGCCAGCGCCGGCCAACTAGCTGACTCAAAACAGTACTAATAATAAATTGAATTGAATTTTAAAATTGGGTATTAGTATCACGTTTATAATTTGGAACAATTTAGCCAAGCGTAATTAGTATGCCAGTGAATTAAAAAGCTTAATTTGCAGTGGCTTGCCAAGCCTACCGGAAAAATTAGCAACAAACAATTCCAATTAATGCTTAATTTAAAAATTTAATTAACTGCCCGACCCCTAATTTATTAATTAAATAGTTCTGGACACTTGTAAAAATCATAAGATGCGATCAGACGTGCAAATAAATTGTGATTTGAGATGTAAATCCGATATATTTTTTGTGGCATTAAACTATATTTTCGTATCGAATTTAAATGGGTTTTATTTGCAATAACATTGTGAACAGAACCCAATTCTAAGATAATTTTTTATTTTTATTGCTTTGAGGATTTCGAGGTCCTGTAAGCTTTTTAAACAAATCCAGGCACGAACATCTAACGAGCCTATCTGGCAGGATTTAACTAATAACTTTATGAGAGACTAATCTTTTTAAATATATAACATTGTTTTTATAACCTTTGTGTTGATTGAAATTCTATTTAGCAAAAAGTGAGAACCACCATTTAATTTCGTATTTGTTTTTTTTTTAATCAAATAAAATTAAGACCTTTAATGAAACCCCTGCTGGAAGACATCATTAGATTCAATGAAAACATAACCGAAGGACGAGAAGGGCATTATGTGGGGAGGATTTCCCTTGAACCAAATCCAAGCTCTACCCCAATTGTGGAATTATACGTACCCAGCCAAAAATGACTGCGGAAACTATAATTAAACTTGTTTATTGCTCACCGAGACATGCACACTTATTTTTGGAATAATTTCCGTTGGACTAATTTGAAAGATAACACAATGAGAAAATAATCAGAGAATATGGCAAATTTTAAAAAAATTTATGTATACTGCTTCTATTATAAATAGATAGCCTTAACTATCTTGCAATTAGCTATCAATCCTATGATTGGTATTCTAACGCGACCCTCGACTGTTAGATCACGGTTTTAACAGTTGCGTCTAAACATCAAGAAACTGATTTCAACTTCCTTGGCATATTTTGATGAACACTTGTTGATAACAAGCTCTCTTCTACTCTGCTACTTTTCTGGATTCGCAAAATAAGAGTGCATTCGTAATAATGGCTTTGACACACAAAGCTATCTTTATGAGCCTTTAATTAAGCTGCAACCAATGCAATTATGTTATTGACTTAATCCATCCATTAAAAGGAGTTGAAGTGCTTGGCTAACACTCGAACGTATAAATGTGAGTATTGTATTTAATTATGTATGTCAATGCCATTGTAGACGTTTTCCTTGGTAGAATTCTTATGGCTTCACCAGAATACTCAACTCCTGTTTGAAAAGTTATATACATATGTACATGAGTATTCATATTAAAAAAAAAGAAATATTAATTGACAATAACAACTGTCAAGTGCTTAGTAATAAATTCATTTTAGCGCAAA